GGCAGTAAATACATCGGTGGTAATATAAAAACACCTTCTATAAGTATAAATAACATTACAGCCTCTGATGATGGTACTTATCGGTGTTTTGTTTACAATGAAGTTGGATCTACGTATGTGGATATTTTTCTGTTTACATGGAGTAAGTACAATTGTTATTATATTTATACATTGAATTATTCACTGATTGTCGTGAAACAATCAATCAAACTTAATTCATATTTTAACTAGCTTTTTACTTTTTAAAAACTCTATGATACCCTGACTCAATGGGGTTGTCGTTCGTTATACAAAATTTCATCCTTTGAAGATTTTTAGTGAACATCTGAAACAAGCACATAAGTTCCCGAAAATATAATTTTTTGAGTCATTTTAGCAATGTTAGAGAACTATTTTGTCATAAACAAGTAAACATAAACTTTACATTAACACAATATATCACGATGTATATTTTTTATTCGGAACAGTTCCGTTTTGTCATTAATTTTAGTATTTTAATAACATATACAAAGTCGTTTGGCACTTTTGTTTGTTCAAAGTTGATTTAACACAGAAATATTTAGAACATTAATAAAAAAAACCTGATGTGTAACTCATTTGATACGGAAAGGTGAACTGTTTATGCTCCTCTTATGACACCCGACGTGTTGTGTTTCTATAATTATAAAAATCGGTTGATTAGTAAAAATCGATGAAAACAAAAAAAGGATGATAGTAATAAAGTTAAGACAAATTGAACATTGTCATAATTGATATAGATCTATATTTCAAAAAGGTCAACGAAATTATGATTGCTTCATTAAATATTTCTGAAGCTTTACATCACCTTTATCATTAAGTATCTTTATTTCAATGGATTCAATGCAAGCATCAACTATGTGAAATAAACCTAACGAGAAATAAAGCTCTAGAACATCGTAACAAATACAAGATATCAACTTCATATTCAATGGCGTGGATATAATCAACCAAGGGTCATCGTAAGGCCTATAACACTGAACAAAGCATATTTATTATATATATAAAACAAATTAGATGTATCGAGGACATGTTGATACTGCTTTACAAATCATGTTAATTCCGTGTTCGAGTGTTGTTGGTTGATATGATATGTTATACAGTCCACTATTGTTCTCTAACTCCTATCCTTTTTATTACGTTTCCCAATGTCAAATTTGCCTTAAATCCCTTCAACAATTAAGCTGATGCATTCGGAATTAGGCGTTTTTTCCGGATCTTACTATTTTAAAATGATTGTATATGTGAAATTATAAATGCAGCACATACCAATATTCGGATACTTAGATGCAGTCGAACGAGGTCTAAATGAATAATAAATAATACAAAAAAATCTTAATGCTTACAGGGTAGTCTTACAGTAACTTGAGTGACAATTTAAGTTCTGTCCAGTTTTTACTTCTTGTCGAAAATATATTTCTGAAAATGTCATGCCCATTTATAATTTTCCGTTTTAAAAATTAAACACGATGGAGTGTTGGTTATTCTGTGTTCTAAATCTCACAGTGCACCATGACTTCTAGCATGTTATACTCCAATGTGTTTAACAGGTAAACCATTCATTCGTATGTCTGGGAATAATGTAGCTGGAATAGGTAGCACGGTTAATCTGGAAGGTTTGATAATATCGAAACCAAACATTCGAAATATAATTTGGAAGAGAGAGTATCAGAATACAAGTGTTGTTATAGATTTTACCGATAGTAGTAAATTTGGAAGATCAGGAACAATATTTCATCCAATACTAACGATAACCAATTTACAAAGAAACGATGAGGGATTGTATATGTGTGCTGCAAGCCATGATTTCAGTGAGGGTGTAGGAGAAATATTTGTTAGTATAGGAGGTATCAATGTTATAGCACTGATTTCACTTTATGTGCCCTGCTTTATATAACTTTTATTATAGTGGAGTCACCAAGCCAACGAATGTTCAGCTTAATGACAGACGCTACCTCAATGCTAAATTATGATTTTGCGTTTACAGAAACGTTTAAACTTTAATTTTATCCGGTCGTTGAATCGATTAATAGTGCAAATTTTTAAAATTTGAGATAAAAGTTCGATAGTTGAGTTTTTAATTATTATTATTTTTTTTTATTAATTTACTGATATAAATATGGAAATGTTCATAATATTCTTATGCAATGAATTCAAAGAAGATTTAAATTCCTGTATGCTTATCTTGGACGGAATTCTGCAATGAAATTAAAAAAATTACATGAAAACATATATATTGCAACGAATAACATGATTTTCTTGAGAAACGTTATGAATAAAGAAGCAACATAGAGAATAAACATAATAATTTGATAATCAATAAATTTATACAAGTCATATTGCTTAATGAAACGTTCAATTTCTTCACATATCTTTTCAGTTGTTCCTCTTGTAATCAGCGAAGGATCCGCCTACCAAGGTACAGTCGGCAATGATATAAAACTAAATTGTTCGTATGATTCAAACCCGCAAGCAATATTACTGTACTGGCTCAAAAATGGTACCAGAATAAATATTGATTTTCAAAGAGAAAAGTACAGCATGATCAATATTTCTTACCCAGACTTGACGATATTTAACGTCCAGCTGAATGACACTGGTATATATGTGTGTTGTGTCGGAAACGTTATTGGTGTAGGCTGCAGCGTTTATATTAAGATTGTAATAAAAGGTATGTTTATTATAAAGAAAACGGTGATTAGAATAATAGTGAAAGACATCAATAGAAGGTATCAGATTATATTAGAGCCAAAAGTAAAAAAAAACCCAAATGTCCACTAAACACTTCACATTTGGATCCTGCTTTATTAGATGTAACACCACCAAATAGGGCCCGTTCAAAATAGAACATACTTTGGGAATTAGTACACATTTAAAACAAAATATTTCCTACTCATAGGTTTATATATCAAAATGCGTAGAATATATATTGTAGTAATTAAGGTATCAAATGAAAGATGAAAGATTGGCGATCCTTGTAAAACACATATTGACTGATAATTTTTAATAATACAAAAAAGTATGAAAAACTTCAAAAATTTTAAGTTTCTCAGATATGAAGTATCTGGTTTGGTGTATCCAGAGTTCCGGTAACCAGTACGGTCTGATGTGTAAAAAACGGTATATTGATTTCGCCCCCCCCCCATAAATGTTTACTCTTCAAATTCTTATGCAGTCATGACAAGGCTGAAATATCGTTGTTGTAGGTTATTTTTATTCTTTGTTTTGACTGGTATGATTTGTGTTATTGTTTTATTATAATTTTTGTATTCTTGTCTTTCATATTTGCTAATGCTATGTCTACATGCCCTTTTGTGTTTCTCTGATACATAATGACGTGGCTCTTTTTTTTAGAAGAAATACACAATAAACATATAGACAAGCGGCAAGTAGGACAAGGTTAACTTCTGATTTACATTCTGCAGAGGATATGCCTAAAAGAACTATAGACCATATTCCTTTCATACTTTGAACGACAAAATTATTTTATATCTCTACCTGTGTGACGTTTACATTCTGACGTCAAACGCACGTTTCTACGTCAGAGTTAATGTTTATCTAACCATTCGGTCCCACTACTTAAAATCTTTCAATCCTTCATGGGTGGATTTAACATACATAAATAAAATACAAAAATAAGAAAGCAATGAATGAGGTTGTTTAATTTGATATATGCCTTTTTGTGCTTCTTTGTTAAATATTTTATTGTGATTAAGATTATAACACAATGTTGACTGCTGTACCCCTATTTGTGACATTTTTACCTATTATGTCTGTTTGTGTTGTTCACGCATCGTTGTCAATATCAGGGAATTTGATGCGACTGTCATACAAGTGAGAGGTTTAGCTAGCTATAAAACCAGGTTCAATCCACCATTTTCTTCACAAGAAAATGCCTGTACCAAGTCAGGAATATGACAGTTGTTATCCATTCGTTTGATGTGTTTGAGCTTTTGATTTTGCCATTTGATTAGGGACTTTCCGCTTTGAATTTTCCTCGGAGTTCAGTATTTTTGTGATTTTACTTTTTTTGTTCTTTTGATATACCTAAGTTTTGACTGCTTAATGTATCCACTTTTATTTTATTTATTATTGCCTTTTAATTTAAATCAATATTGATTATGCATATTTTTTCTTTTCTCTTGTGGTTTTAATAGTCAGTAAAATCTATGTGTTTTATGTATTATTTTCAGCTTAACTGATTAATAGTAATGCTATTTAGGAAACCTAAATATGATTTTTGCAATTTTGAATTTTTTACGCTATGAGACAAAAGGTCTACAGATTGTGTTATTTAGTCATAAACAGAATAAGTCTTATTACTCCAACGGTACCCATTTGTTCTGCATCAGATGCGCATTTCGACAATAAATGTCTCTTCAGTGATGCTTGAGGCCAAAGCTTATTAAAAAAAAAGAAGAGCTTATTAACAAAAAGGACAACAACCTTAACTTATCTTAAATTTGTTAAACTCTCTTGTCTAACCTTCAACCATACAGCATCAACTTTAGTTATGTAGACTTTCAGGGATAACATACGATATGGGGGTAAAGTCAACTGTGTTTCGAACTTTATTATACCTTCAAGTTGGATTTGTACCTCATCCAGGCTGGCGGACATTGACATTTTCTGCAAAGTTATTCTTTTGATGCTTAATAATTCTGAGAATTATTAGACGAACTTCGCAATATTGTATTTTTTTTGAATTTACCGGTCGGGGCAAAATAAAGTCTCAACGAAGATACCAGGCGTATAATTGTGTACGCCAAACGCGCGTTTCGTCTAAATACGATTCACTAATGACTCTCGAATAAAAACAGTTGGAGGGCCATACCAACTACAAAGTTGAAAAGCATTAAAAACCGAAAATTACAAATAAGTCTAAAATCATGGCCGGGAAGTAGTATGGTACATGTATATTCAGGGTAATAATTATTTTTTATCAAATGTTTTATCATTATTTCAGAAAATAAGGAGGAGACGAATATAGATCTACTTCCCGTCATTATTGGAACTGTAATAGGACTGATTGTTTTTGTTCTGGCGTGCCTTTGCTTAATAAAAAGGTATGTTGCATACAAGTAAAACAAGTCTTTAATGATTATAAAATGCGACATCAACATATAACTGCATATTCAAATAAATAAAAAAAAAAACATCTATACATTTATTCGCACTCTTCAATACATTACAAGGATAGGAAATTTGTTTGTACGTTTTCCTTCAGTCAGGCTGAAATATTATGAATATATTATACTTTTTGATGATATGTGAAGTCGTTGTTTTACATAAGAATCAAAACACTTTTTTGAAAATACTTGCCATATGTATCTTCAAACTTTCAAATGTTGCTATTCATCTGTCATACCTTTGTGACAAAAATGCTGTTGGTCCTACAGAAAAATCTCCAAAAACCATACATGTGTGCGTGAATATAAAATATATCTGAATAAGATACTGCTTATTCACATTGAGAATAAAAAAAATATACACCTATAACTCACAAAAGAGGGCAATCACAATGCTTCATGTTCCTTTTGAGTAGCAGGAAACAGCATCTTCGTATAATTTATAGAAAACCGAAACCGAAACAAGGTCTGAGTCTGCCCTATGTTACACGAAACGTATTTTAAAATAACTATATTTTGTTCTATCATCAATGCAACATTGGCTACGTAGAGGTAACATCTATCTTCGTTAGGAAAGGATAAAAAATGCTTTGTTGAAAGCAATTAGTTCATTTTAAACACAACTGTTTTTAAATGTACCAACATTTTTTATTGACAATTTACTTCTTAAATTGAGTGAACGAGTTAATGAAAAGACTGTTTCCATATCTATATGAATGTTGACAACTCTATAAATATTCTCGGACGCTAAAATTCATTGGTTTTCAGCCACATGAGTATAAAATTATCAAAACGGGTACTATAAGAAGAGCAGAATGGTTGAAAATTTTGATTAACATGATCTTTCTCCAAGTTTTGCATTAGATATCTGTGTTTTTGTCTAAGTTGTTAACACCAGTTATGTCCTTGTTTATATTCTTTGTTCTGATGATTAAATTTGCACGTTCATTAGACGATTTTTCTTTACTGAAGATTTATGTGAACAGATAGGTAATGCTTTTTTGGTTGTTTTTTGTTGTTCGTCGTTCCATCTTCTTTTTGTTTTGTCTTTGTGTTGTTTATCCATTATCTTTTGATTCTGAAAAAAAAACAAGATTTGCTTTAATATGTACGTATTAAATGTATTTTATTTTAGACTTTGACTACAATGTAACTCTGCTTTTGTTTTAATCATGTGTAGCATTTTTGTATTGTTCTTAACGATAAGTCTAAAAAATTTCACGCAAATATTGATCTGAATTATAAGGCAAAGTTGAGCAATCATTCTTTTATTTGACCCGCCAGTTTTTTGTCTATAGTTTACCTAATTGATGCTCCTCAACAAACGATTTTGTTGTTCTATAAAACATTTGTGCATATTTTATACAACTTAATAAATACAACTAAATATGATACCAGTTGTCTCTAACCTACCACGGTTAACCAAAAACAACCTGATAAGAGTATATGCTAATTAGACAGCACCCTAATAACATAAAACACAAGTTAATAACAGGGTTTGTATTTTCAGTCTATGTAAGATAGCAAAGACGCAATTTACATACGAATCGGGCCGAAGGACAATTTGTAAGTAGTGGTTTATTTTGGTATATTCAAATAGTTTTTAATGTTGTACTGACAAGCACAAACTATTAAACTTGTGGTCAACATTGTTGATAGGTGAGAGAAGAACATTTACATGGATTTTAAATAATGATCCAGTCGGAAAAGGTTTACCAGTTCATTACACAAAAGTAACGACAACACGTTTAAGTCGTTTTTTGGGTTAGCAGCAGCCTGATACATAACTATAACATACATATGTAAATATATCAAATAGATTTTTGTTTAAGATAAAGATATAAAACAAAACGCAGATAAAAAATCAGTCGTTGAAGAAGTGACCTTTCCTTCAATCAGATTGTATTAGAAACATGTGTATATCAGTTTTGAATAAAAAGACTGTTGCCGTTATTGATTATTTTTCAGTGGAAGGAAAGTGTAATGAAAATAGAGATTCAGATCACGTGTACAGTACTCATAGCATATACAATGCAACCGTAAGTGAATAAAGTTTATTTCTTTACTTTTTCTATACCAAATATTTTTTTTTGAGTATATACTGTTTAAATGTTGTTATATATCTTTTATAAATTGTGAAGTTTTATCTATTTAAAAGCACTTTTGACGCAACCTATTTATACATCTTTGTAAACTGTTATTCTGATGTTGTACTGTAGTAGTCACTTTCGAAAAAAAACCATGGACATGAAAAGGAGTAGAAGTGGAAGTATGTAATGATAACTAATATACATGTACATAACCTTACAATTATTTTTTTTTGTAAACAATATACACGCATGTCTTATGATGGAAAACTAGAAGCAAGAACAAAATAAATTTCGTTAACCAAATAATAGTAAAACACGAAATGAAAGAATTCTTTTGCACATTTTCGTCTCCATGAGTGACTTTATTTGCAGTGCTTGCCGGAGAGCAGCAATAAACAATTGCTATCCTTTAATTCGCAATCAGTAAAGACTAATGAGACGTCTATTACAACAATCTACAAAACACAACAACGAAAACTAAATATAGAGCCTCATACACATTGGGGATTGAATTTATTTTTAATAGTTGCACTAGTAAACCAATTTTGATATGAACTGGTCATTTAGAGCTGAACAGGTTTTAAAATACTGAACTATTAATTATAATGTCATTTTCAGTCTTTCCATCTATTTTTAGACTTATCAGCTGCGGTAACTTCAATACTATTCCGACAATATGCTTTCAGTCATTTCAGATCTGTTAATTCTATGTTAGTAGATATAAGAATATTTGGTAGGAGTGCCAATGAGACAACTCTCCATCCAAGTCACAATTTGTAAAAGTAAACATTTATAGGTCAAAGTACGGTCTTCAACACGGAGCCTTGGCTCACACCAAACAGCAAGCTATAAAGGGCCCCAAAAATGACTAGTGTAAAACCATTCAAACGGGAAAACCAACGGTCTAATCTATATAAAAAACGAGAAACAAGAAACACTCATGAACCACATCAACAAACGACAACTACTGAACATCAGATTCCTGACTTAGGACAGAGGCAAACAAATGTAGCGGGTTTAGACTGTTCAGTAGTTGTTATTTACTTATACATATCAATATTATACCGAATTGTCTGAAAAAGTACTGAACATTACTGAACAGTACTGAATGGACTGCATGCCAATGATCCGAACAGTACTGCATTTATTGCTGTTAATAATAATTCTTAAAATTGGCCGAAAGACTGATCATGAATTAATAACTACTAGTAATTGGTGAATCATTATCAGTGATGTTGAGATACCAGTAAAATCACAAAAATACTGAACTCCGAGGAAAATTCAAAAAGGAAAGTCCCTAATCCAATGACCGTTTCCGACAAACAAATTATTTACTAGTGTCGGCATTCTTTGATCTGCTAGTGTCACCAATCCTGTTTCTACTGATTCAATGTATCTTATGTGCCTTAAATGACACTAAGACGCTCCTAATTAATAAGCAGTTGGAACATATACATACGAAAATAACAAACGATTGATGGTGAACCACACACTCTCAAGTATAAGATATTTTTATTCAGGCTTCGATTTTGTTATCAGTAAATTAAAAGCAAACTAAATATTATTGTTATATACATGTACACATTCATGGATCTACAATCTGTCGATACCTGTATCTTGGCATTGCACAAGGTCATGTTTTTCTCTGACTGTTTATGACGTATTTACACTAAATCCATTGGATATTGGATGTGTACGGATTGATAATTTAATCTTAGATGCATGATTTTTTTTTATTAGTTGTTAGTGGCTTAGAACTAACTGTCAGTAACTGCGAGTACTCTCAGATCTGTACTTAGTGTCTTTTTGTTGTTTGGATGTACAAGTACCCGGCCACGTCCACTTGTATTTTTATCCATCTGATGAGTTAAGCCTCTTTCAACTGATTTTTATAGTTCGTTCTTATGTTGTACTGTTACACCACTGTCCCAGGTTAGGTGGAGGATTTAACATGTTTAACCCCGCCACATTCTGTATGTATGTGTCTGTCCCAAGTCAGGAGCCGGTAATTCAGTTGTTGTCGTTTGTTTATGTGTTACATATTTGTTTTTCGTTAATTTTTTGTACATAAATTAGGCCGTTAGTTTTCTCGTTTGAATTGTTTTACATTGTCATTTCGGGGCCTTTTATAGCTGACTGTGCGGTATGGGCATTGTTGAAGGCCGTACGGTGACCTATAGTTGTTAATTTCTGTGTCATTTGGTCTCTTGTGGAGAGTTGTCGCATTGACAATCATACCACATCTTCTTTTTTATATTCATAAGAGGTATGCACTCTGTCCCTTGTTAGTGCTCTATATCGACTTCATCTCACACTGCATGTGAAGATTCCAAATATCATATGCATAGAGCATATACAATGTGAAATTCAACAATTGAAAAATAAACCGTATAGGCTTACACGTAAATGCGTACAAAGTTATTTATAACTTATTGATTTTTCTTTTTTACAGTACGACTATTCAGGAACTACAAACGCACGCAAGTCTTCCCATTTCTATGATGACATTGATAGCTTAAACAAAGACGTTTAAAGATTTAGATAATTATATCAGAAACATCGATTTATTGTAGATCTTATTCCTTTTTCAGTCTAAAACCTTTACGGGTGCCAGATGTGGAGCAGAATCTGCTTACCCTTCTGGAGCACCCGAGATCACAATAAGTTTTTGTAGGATATGTTGCTCATTTTTTAGTTTAAAAAAAAAGTCTCGTATTCTAGTTTTCCAGAAGGCAAAACTAGCTAAATAGTACTTGTTTTACACATAAGGGGATATGTACATTAATATATCTGAATATGTATGTCATTTTGTAAAAAAAATAAAAGAGTTTACAAATAATTTGCTCTAATTCAGAAACTACTCTAAAACTAACATAACACAATTAAATGAGCATGGGCTACGATTATAAACCATTTTGAAATATGATTTTGTTTGGTTTTAAACACTTACATAAGTCTAAGATACTAGCCTGATAATTCTATACAAGATTCATCAGTCACGTTATTAGTGCCCGAATCAAAACACTTAAAGGCCAGACCAAATAAGAATGTGAAGAACATAAAACATTTAATAGTTCTGAAATGTTGTGCCACCAAAATAAGCTCAAAATCATTGCTGAATTATTATTGGCTTGCAAGTAAATGTCGATAGTTTATTCCAACGCGTCCAGTTATGGATACACACAAAATGTTGACAGACACTTCGTAATTTATCAAGACATTTTGAACAGTTTTCTACAGCATTTTTTTTAGATCTGAATACGTTTCAGTAATAATTTGAAAATGTTACAGAGTTTGAATAAATACTGTGGGAATTATATGTTTAGAATGTCCCCGTAGTATCTCCCGTTTCTTTTTTAATGTTCATTTGACGTGTGTTAGTCAAAAGCGTCATATGGATTTTCTTGGATAAGTCAAGGACTATCTACCTACATCCTGTTTTCCCTAAAATTATATGATTCAGAATGTATTGCCCTTATATGGCGAGTCTTTGTTAATGTTCATATTTTGGTCTGTTGACTCAATACTGTTAGGAACATGTAGATAGAAACTGATACAAGCAAACTCTATCAGCAATATACATGCAAAATTGTCAATATGACCGAAACTAGTCGATTTTTTTGTCCGTTAATACTAATTTATTACTATTTTGTCAAAATCTATAATAGAAAGGTAGGAACTGAATATAGCGAAATAAGCAGAAATAAAGAGATACAAAAATACAGAGCTAACACCTTAATATATATAATTCGACTCACAAAATAAAAACAACACGTTGAAAATTCTGAAGTGTTATTTTCTGGATTTACCTTTATCAGGAACGATCAAAGCAGAATATTTAAAAGCCAAGGATGTTTAAGAGCCGAAACAATTGATGAGCTATATAAAAGGACCAAATTCATCTAAGGTCAACTTTGACTTAGGGAGTTGAAATTTCAAATTTTATTAACGGGGAATTTTAGAAAGTTTTGTTATAAATCATATCAGTACCGAAGTACTGACTACTAGACTGATGATACAATCGGTGACGGATAGTCCACAAACAAAGGTGTCGACCAAGTGCTTTGATAAAGAAAACAACATGTTATAGGTTGCACTTTGTAAATACAGCTGTTTCTCCAACCACGCCTCTTTTGGGGGAGATATATAATATTCATAGATAACTTGATTTGTTTACGTACTGGTTCCAGGATATGATCTCTATGTTTCATCTCATAGAGACATAACTTAGGGCTGATAACAGTACAAAAGACATTGTTGGGGTAAACATTGAATTCTGAAGTAAGCACAAAGTGAAGGTAGGGGTAGTACATAATTTTAGGATAATTTAAAACCTTTACAAGTTCAGGGCATATAAATATTGAAACTATGCCGCACAGCCCTATATATTTACCCTGTGAATAAAAAAGTAGTGCATATCAGCTTTCCATTCTAGGATATAGTTTTTTTACGAAACTTCATAGCAAATGTGGCCCAGTTTTAGCCGAAAAGGGAGTTCCTATGGGAAATAGCATTGTCTATATTTACAGATATTCAACCTTTTAAAAAGTTAGATTTGCAAACTTTTCCTTTGCAAATTTCATTCTTCCCTCAGCGGGATTAGAACAAATGTTTCTCTGACACCGTAGCAACACCACCTGCATTGTGTTTAGCACCCTAGACCACTCATCAAACTACTGTAAATTCAGAAATTATTGCGTGCAGTTATTATTGCGATTTTGTCATTTTTGACTTAAATGCGATTTGAATTTTTACGATTTTGGGGAAAATCCTGTTTAATTCATACAAAATATTTCAAAATGCGAGTTAAAATTATTGCGTTTACAACTCTGTCGCATTTTTCGCAATAATAAAAACCTCGCATTAATTTCTGAATTTACAGTAAGTGAAAATAAATAAATATGGTATACATATATGTAAGACTCAAATCTATGGTGAGTTTCAGATCTATGGCAGATTCCTAATCTATGGTAAATATGACGTCATACCATCCCCAATCTATGGTAATGGTTTAGAATCCTAATCTATTACATCTTTTAAGTTTCGTAATCTATGGCAATTTTTTTTAGTTTCCTAATCTATGGCGGGTTTCTAGTTTTCAAATCTATGACAGATTTTCTGCAAAGGTCGGACTAGTCAGTACATATCTGACCAATGATTTCGATGTCGAAATGTCCAAAGATAGCGACAAAGTTGCTTTTAAGTAAAAACCAGTATAAGAAAAACGGATTAGGATTATAACTAGGAAGAATATCCATAACTGTTTGTAAAATGAACACAGACTTTAGGGTTGAAATTATGTGCCCCTGAAGAATAAGTATTTCCTACTCTGTGCATGGTACCTGTTTGACCCTTCATTTAACCAAGTCCCTTAACAATACACAAAGTAATTTGAATTTTTAACTAATATCTATTTGAGCGCCTAATAATGTAAATTTTTTTTATGACTGATGACGATTTAAGTAATGTAGTGAACAATGACTGGCCTCAAACACGTGACTTTCTAAAAAGAAATACTGAACAATAATTCGACATATGTATAGCGGAAAATAATCATTCTTTCAAAATCTCAAGAAAGATTATTTGCTACAATAGTACAGGTAGTCAGTGTTTTATAGCTGACAAAATACTTTACGTTGTGTTACTTCTAACAGAAAAGATATCATAGGGGTACAAAATATAACATAAAAACTGAGCAAAAAACAAGCCAAAATGATACAGAAATAGCTCGTACAATTAAGGGTGAGGGAAACACTAGCAACACGAGAAGAAGAAAACAAGGGTAGAAACAAACACACTTTATTCATTGATTAGAATCCTTGCAAACTTGCTTTTCAATCTTTTTCTTTTCCTTCTGTTTAACAACACCGTCTTTTTGAGCGACAGCTTCGACGTGACATGACGTTATTTAATTGTGACGAAAAATGACGGAAATTAACTTTTATTTTGTCAATTTCATCATCTTTACAATTGTTTAATTTTCCCTATCCAGTTTTCACATTCAAAATTATGTCTTAAACGCAAGGGACGGAAAAAGGGTGTTTGATTTTAATTTATTCATTTATTCATTTTGAATAGATGAAATAAATTTCAAGGATAAACCTGTAAAAGTGCTAGAAATATATTTCGGCATTAATAAAATATTCCATTGTTAATATTCATCAATAATCATGTTCTCACCTTAAAACAAGGTAAATAAAGACAACAGTAGTATATCACTATATAATAATCATAAAACGATTAAGCGAAAGCAAATCCGGGTCACAAACCTAAAACGGGGGAAACATATGAAGATTTAAATAAACAAGTAATTCCTCCATGGGCGACAATGATAGCCTTTTTCGAGATACAGACTTTAGAAAGTTGATTTTTTTAACGAAACCTTGCTAGAATTAAAGAAAAATTATTCGGACAGTATTTTTTTGGTAAATAAAATATAGGCTCGCGTTGCTTTTCTTATTGTAAGTTGTACAAATCTCCAATGCCTATCAATTTTGCACTAAAAAAACACGTGTCTCATCCTTGCGTTGAAAAGACATCTTAGTTCCGTTAGGGCTAAGGAAATTAATTTAGTTTGCCTTTGGTATAATGCAGAGTGCACGAAGTCTCTAGCAATAAAAAATAATGGGAGCCCATATCGACCAATCAGGATTAGCCATACACTTAATTCTGAATACCATGTTATGTTCATAATATGGCTGCGCCCATAAAATCTAATAGTTTATTGTAACCTGAACTATAAGAGGAAATCAACGGAGCAACACAAACACTGAACTGCTACAAAAACTAACGACAACATACAAAGAAACGGACTATTTGATATCAACTACCATCTTCCTGACCTGGTAAACAATCCGATCAAGAAAAAATTATCAAGCGTTAATTCGTTTTTATCAATGACGTTGGACTAAGTAGTATTATAATTGTTCCTTTACAAATACACAATACACATAATGGTGTAAGTTGTATTTGATTATAGCATATACATTCAATACAATGTTATCAGAAGTCATTTAATACTTTACCTGGTTGTATTTAGTGTTATTTCTTCCTGATACGAAAACCATATTACACACATACATACGGTGTATATGAATTTCTTTAAACGAATTAAGGTTTAAATTCAAAATGAATACGCAGATAAACATATTTGAAACCTCTTAAATGGCGACAGATTCTCCGTGTGAGGATAAAATCAAACGAGCTGTAAAGAAAAAAGATGTGGAAACTATTCTCCGTTTGTGTGACGATATTTCTTACAGAACAAGTATTCTAAACTTCAGAAAAGATGGAAGGCGATTAGTGCACGTTGCAGCTCAGTTTGGTTCTGTAATATTACTTGAAAAATTATGTAGCATTGGTTCCGATTTAACAGTTCTAAGTCATGATACATATGAATATCATAATGGTGGACTAGATACTACTTTACATATTGCATGTGCATGTGGTCATATCGAAGTAGTCAAATACTTGCTTCAAACTGTACAAAATGTTTCATTCAAAAATGTAGCGACGATTAAAGATAAAGATAAAAGTTACAGAAATGCATTTTACTATGCAGCACAGTCAGGAAGTGTTGAGGTTGTGAAATGTCTTCAAACGCTTGGAAAACTAGACATCAATGAAATTTTACCGCATAATAGAACAACGCTATCAGTAGTTGTTGCAGAAACTGATTCTGCAAGTGCACAAATCTTGTGTGAATGTGGTGCCAATGTTAATCTTGGAACGTTTGAACGAGGACTTAAACCTATTCATTATATAGTAGAAAAACCTAATAGTGCTGAAATAATTAAAGTCTTATTGAATTTTGGAGCAAACGTAAATGAACCCTGGGAGAAACATTCGAGAAGATCATGGTTACGACAGTCTCCACTTTTCATGGCACTTAAACACGGCTTTGCTGATAATGCTAAAATCCTTATAGAAGGCGGGGCGAACGTGTCTTTTGTTGGCCAAGGTGCGAATTTGGGTTCAATAAGTTGTTTTAGTTTGGCAGCAAAGAGATGCCCAGCAATAATTTCGGAATTTCTCAAACATGGAGCCGATCCAAACGAATCACTCAATGGTCAATCTTTGTTTATGATGGCCATGGATGATTATGCCTCCAGTGATACGATAAAAGCCTTTGTGGAAGCCGGAGCCGATGTTAACCAAAATAGAAATGGGAAAACGCTCATTCAAAGTTGTACATGTTACGGTAAGTTTCAATGTCTAAATACGACGTCTTCATAATTTGTAAACATAAGAGAAAGAAACTCTAGTTTGAACACGTTAAGGCAAAGCGTACATTGTAGGAATTTTTTCTATGATGATGTATAAATACGCTGTCACGCCTGATTGGAATGAAAACAATAAAACTGATTCATCGTGTAATTAAAATGCAATTGTGTACGTTAAAGAGCAGTTTCATTAAAATGTTGAGGGTTCAGCAAGTGCTCTATTTAATATAGTCTGCGGAACAATTTCAAAAAAACCCAAACACACAAACACAAAATAAGCGTGAGCGTATCTGTTAAACCCTTACTTAGCCCGTTTAATCATAAAAACCGACCCTGAAACTTATTTTATTTGTTTTTCTCTAACCAGGTTTAGATGCCTATGTTTTCATATGCAAAACCTTGTAGATGTAAAGCCATTAACTTCAATAAAAGGCCCTGTAAAGGTGTTATTGTATTTTAAACTTCAATTATTAAGTAAATCAAATTGTTATGTATTGCTAAATGTATGATATTTGAAATAATAAAAAGTAAGATTGCATAACTGCTTCATATTTATAAGGTTGAAATAATACTATTATTTTATGATTGTGTCAATAGTTTTGGAACAGTGCATATCAGTTTGCTTATCTATGTTTGAAGCAAGACACACATGTTTTTAGTTTAGTTCTAGCTATCTACATTGCAGCAGCTTGCTTCTTTCTGTATAGTTTTACTGCTTGCTTTTTCCTGTATAGTTTTACTGCTCGCTTTGTCATGTATAGTTTAACTGCTTGCTTTGTCTTGTATAGTTTTACTGCTTGCTTCCTCGTGTATAGCTTACTGCCTGCAGATTCCTGCTGATTTTATTGCTTTCTTTGTCCTGTATAGTTTATGACATTCTGTTTATAAAATTGATTAATTAAAAAACAGTGGTAGATATTCAAATTGGGACGCCATGATTACTAATCAGCATATCTTATGCTCTAATTTCAGAAACATTCTTTGAAGGCTGGTGCCTATTAAAACGTTAAAACCCGCTACATTTGTTTCACCTTTCAGATGTTCAGTGGTTGTTGTTTGTTGATGTGGTTCATAAGTGTTTCTCGTTTCTCGTTTTGTATATAGATTAGACCATTGATTTTCCTGTTTGAATGGTTTTACACTAGTCATTTTTGGGCCCTTTATAGCTTGCTATTCGGTGTGAGGCAATGCTTCGTGTTGAAGACCGTACTTTGACCTATAATGTTTTACTTTTTTAAATTGTGACTTTGATGGAGAACGCTCATTTGCACTCATACCACATCTTTTTATATCTATTTAAGAATGTTTTGCTGATACTTGTTTCTCTTATTCATTAAAGAAGGATTTGTGTTTTCCCTTTTCAGCTGGTTGCTATTTCTCTGAAAATGATTAAAAGGATAAGGAGACCTATTACACACCAACCATTTTAGCATATGGTTTATGCACCCAGGACCCGTCAAATTGTTGTCTTTGTCTCATCTTAAGATATTGTTAGTTTTTTGGTATATCTTTCATAATCTAACTGTGAAATTATAGAATCGGATACATGTTTTTATTTGACAGTGTGACTCTCAATAAAGTAAAAAATTGATTGAAAATAAATACTGATTTTTCCGATATGTTATGATGATAAACACACTTGGTGGAAATTCTTCATGAGCGCGTCTTTTCGAACAACATCTTTGGGTTTTAACTCCTTTTTTCCCACGTAATATAATAGAAGTAGGTTCCACAACTTGTCGTTTCAGGGCTATAGAAACAAGCTCTCATTTCTTGTTAACTTCTGTCAAGTGGTAGTGAATGTTCTTGCAGATTGTCTACAGTGTATTAGTCTCAATAGTTGATTCATGGTCATATTTGTGACATGATATAGAATATAATCTTCTATTTGTATTGATTAAGATTTAATTATTGAAAAGTAAAAGGTTCACAACATGATATGAAAAATTAAATTGTATGCTATACTTACAATTTATCTCGTTTATTTCATTTTCTTTCCTTTTATCTTTTATAACAGCTAATGCTTCAAGTAGTATTCATTATTTTGTGTGCCAGTATTGTTTAAGACTGTTTCTGTATCCATTTTATTTAAACAGTATGATTTCATGTTGCATATAGTTTTTAATTTCTTGAATATAATATTGGTCAAGAAAACAAACACTTTGAAATAGTCGGTAATTATAAGTGACAAATTATCTTTTTTTATTTGTTTGCACGAATGGACACATCTTATATATCCAAATCGACTGGATCATGTATATTATTCATTCAATGATGTATCATCACAGAAGCATTTGCCTTAAAGGCAAATCATGCACTTTACGAAAAGTAATACAGATAAGTTTTGAAAGAGGAAGAAAGTGAGTTTTTAGCTCACCTTTCGTTATGGGCCAAGTGAGCTTTTCTCATCACTTGGCGTCCGACGACCGCCTCCGTCATTCGTCGTTGTCGTCGTCGTTGTTTACTTTTACAAAAATCTGCTCCTCTGAAACTACTTGACCAACCTTAACCAAACTTGAGCACAATCATTATTGGGGTATTTAATTTAACAAATGTGCTCCATGACCCCGCCTGCCAACCAACATTGCCGTCATTGCTAAAATAGAACATAGGGTAAAAATGCAAGTTTTGTCTATTATTTTGAAAACCGTTATGAAAAGAGAAAATTGTGACGAGGGCAGAAATAATCAGAATGTTGAGCTCTACCAATTGTCCATATACGTCATCGTTATCAGACGACTTCCTATAGGAGTAATTGCCCTTAAATGACAATTTTTAAAATTTTGTTCATTTTTGCCTATTATCTTGAAAACTATAATAGATACAGAGAAACATTAGATTACAAAAATTATCAGTAAGTTCTACAAATAAGTTCACATTGACGAAATCATCAGCCGACTCCTTAGAGTTATTGTCCTTTGATGATGATTTTTATAATATTTTTGGGGGTTTCGCCTTATATGATACAAATTATCATAGTTAAATAGACACTTTAAATCACAAAAATTATCAGCAAGGGAAGATACATGTATACTAGAAAATCACATTTCGCTATAATAAGTAGTGTTATAAGTACTGTCTCTCTTTATAGGTGTGATTACCAAGCCCCTTAACGAAACATTTTTTTAATCCTTTTTTTGTGTTTGAGCAAAAACTATAAGAAAATAAAGAGAAATTAAACAGACCAAATAATCAGTAGTACAAGATAAACAAAACAGATATTTTATTCATGAAGTGTCGTTTGTTGAAAATGCACATAGACTAAAGTGAGCGTCACAGGCTCTTTAGAGCCTCTATTTTTTTTTATATTTAACATCTTCAATAAAAAATTAACTCTGTAGGCATATCACTCTGTATTTTAGAACAACTGAGGCCATTTATCGAAGGAGGAGTTTCTGTTAAGATAATAGAATCCAAACATAAGGTTTATACAATATCACTAGCTCTTGAAAGTAGGTATACATCAGACACAAAATCCTTATCGGATTTGTTATCAAAAGGAGCCGATCCAAATTTGAAGCCAGAGGGCAAAGACCCCCCATTGATTGTGGCAACGAAAAAGAATCTATCAGAAGATGTAGAATGTCTGATAAAGGGAGGTGCTCAATTAGATGACGTTAGTAGAGATGGAGATACTGCAATTGTGGTGTGTTGTAAGAAAGGTTAGATATATTGTCTTTCTAACATTTAAATTAACGTAACTTTTTCCCAAAATTCATTCCTCTACATATGTTATAACATTTGTACAATTTAACGAGTGTTGAGGGAAAAATAAGTATTTACTCACTATTCTTACTTTATGTATCATTAAAATTATCATAACCTCGATGATTGTATCATCCTTTTTTATTACCAGAAGACGTAGCTTTCGAATGTTCTCTGATATTTGGTCGGGTTGTTGTCTCTTTGACACATTCTCAATTTCCAGTTTCTATTTTAAGAAGGCACTAGGCCATAATACGACCAATACACTTCGGTGAAATGATTTTTTTTCAATATATTAATTTGGATTTATACCTTTTCACATGTTACACATATTTTCATTTTATTGATGATTTCAGTATCGCATTCCTGTTTTCAAACACTGAATATTTTGATTGATTCCGGTGCCTCACTGAATATAGCGAGCAATGAAGGGGAATATCCCTTAGAGTTGCTGGCCCAACGAATTGAAAAGGACAAACATTCTGGTGCCAATCTGATGAGACATTTATTCGGATACCAGTCTTCACACAAAGAAGAAATAGAAAATTGTGTCACTAAAATGTTAGCGAAAGGAGCTAACCCAAACATTACAAAGAAGGGCAACAATTCACCTTTAATCATAGCAGTGCAAAAACAGTCAGAAGATTTTGTTCAAATAATGTTGGATGCTGGAGCACATATTTTGCATGTTGGTGAAAATCAAAGAACAGCTTTAGATCTATGCTTTATTCGAGGTAGATAAAAGCGAATCTTCATAACACATGTTTTCTCTAAAAAGGGCTTTTTAAACAATGCTTGAAGACACGATATGGTAAAAAGCCCAATACCCCAATTCCCATAAAAAATGAACATAATACCAATGAAGAAACATAGATGAAACATTTAAATTGTTCTTTCAACCACCAAGACGAGAATTAACGTTTACGTTTACGAAGTCAGAATAAGCAGTATTTGTACGAAAACAGTATTAACGATGTATATTTATTTTAGTTTATAAATTTATAAAAGTTAAATGGTGTTAAACGAAGTATGCAAAATGCAGCTTTTTATCATCATAATGATAATTACACAAGTAAATACAATTATTTGTAGTACACTAAAAGAAGTACATCAATTTGAATATTCATGACATTTACTTAGCATCGGAATTAGTTATAACATTAGGTCTGCATTTCTTTCAGGTTCAAGGTCAATTAGAGATATTATTGTCAAAACATTCGTCGATAACCTAAAAGGGTACACGACGTCAGATACAGTAGGTCCATACCTTGTTAACTTGTTGATAGAAAACGGTGTTGAAGATTCGATTGTAGAATATGCTGTATCGAGAGGACTAAATCCAAATCGAGTCATGCTTTGCGAAGACTCTCCATTGATGAAAGCTATCAAAAGAAGAAGATACAAAATAAGCTGTGCTCTTATTGAAGCAGGTGCAGATGTAATATATGCAAATTCTGATGGAACGAATGCTTTTGATATATTTTCAGGTAGGATAATTTAAATACAATAAATACAATAAGTGTTTATTAAACCATATACTCTTATATTCTTATTGGAACACAGTACCGTGTATTTGTTGATATACAGGTATGGATCGAACTAGAAAGTTGACAACACTACGTTGAAAAAAAAAATAAAAATCATATTTACTTAAACTACACAAAGCATCATTATAAGAGTTTAATGCTGCATGTTTCATGTTGAAAAAATGTTGATACAACATTTAAAACGTATACATGTTTTAATTTTTTCTTTTGTTTTGTCAATACTCAATCTTTGTCTCCATTTGTCAAATGTTACGTTTTTGGTCTATCTTCAAGCGTTTATGATTTAGTCATACCTATATAGGATTAGGGTTATCCATAATATATTCAGGACTTCATATAACAAGTGTCACAGGAAGCTGTGATATTGTCATTTAAAATCAATGTTTAAAGATGGCCATTGTGGTATTTTTTTGCTAAACCGCTTTATCTATAGAAGTTGATCGAAATCAAAACATCTAGACGTCTTTTTTTCTTTTGAATTCATTCTACATATAGGTATTTGATCTTAGAATTAAACATTGCTTTTCAAACATATTTTAAACACACTTCGTCTTCACTTAAATCTGCAATTGTACCTGGCTGTTATTCATTTTGTTTTCTCTGAACAGGTAAAATATGTCTTTCATATACATACATTAACTGGTACCAGTCATTTTCTTCTCGTGTGAAAAGCTTTTTGAAATAACTGTTTTTTTTTGTATTTGAATGGCATATACAATGTGAAAAAAAAGTCTGATATATGTAATCATACTTTTGAACACAGATCACCTACTGTTGACAATCGGGTACAGGAGGAGTATGATACGAGCTACTTTTGTAAATGTTTTTTTTAATTGTAAATCTATTAAGTTCTTTCTTAACTTATATGTTATTAATTATTTTTATTGAGTAATGAACCGAGTTGGTCTAGGCTATGCCCAAAAAAGATATTTAATACATATAGACAACTTTTTATATTACACCTTTTAGCAAAGCTAAATTTAGATAATACATTTCCTCCATCTAAATTGTAACGATAGCTCTTGAAATCTAGACAGTTTTAAATTGATTTTGATGCCCTGATACAAACAAATACGACAAAATTGATAATGATATATGATGTTTTCCATATTTTAGGGGCGTTATGTTACAGATTTTAGATACGTTTTGATTTCGATTCAAGGTGCTAAATTAAATTTTCATACCTTGTCCTTAAAATTTGATTCTATTCCAAATGCTTTCCCTCACAATTTGTGTCTTTGCTTTATGATATTTGCCTGAAGTCGGGGTATTCATCAGTATGTTGTAAATATTCAATTACATTACACATTAGTCTAATCTCATACATAAAAGTGCATACAAATATTCACTGCATTCAGACTTTTTCCTTTCCTTCAGAAATTTGCAAGAAGTTACAGAAAAGTCAAGATACAAACAAAAGACATCGGTCAAAACCTAAACGTTTGTATCCAAGAAATACAGAAACTGCCGAAGATATGGATGAGCAAATGTGTAAGTGAACGATATGTTTAAGTCCATTAAAGTCGTGGGAATAATGCTGATTTAGAAATTGAATACGTTTAATCTTATTTTCCATAAGACATATATTGTAATGTGTTTGACGTTAATTTGCCTATTGTCAATAGTTCATTAGATATTCAAAAGATCCAATAAGTCATCAATGAAACATACAATGTATATTACTATTGAAATAGAACATGTTTAGACTATGAAAATCATAAGATAAAACAATAAAAAGATTGCACTATACAATGTGTAGCCACTGCCGAATATTCATTAATTGGTTTCATTCGAATATCGTTCTCCTGTGTTATGTCCGCATATTTTTTTATTTAATTTCTGATAATATACCACTGTAAAATATTTTATGATTATCTATTTCAATTTGGCCTTATTTTACCAGAAACCTGTTAATAATAGTGTTTATAGTCAATATATATATACAATGAAAATAAATGTATATTAAACGTTAGAATTCAAATGATTATGGACTACAGTTTCAATCATTACAAAATTTATCAGAAAAACCATCATATTTTTCAAAAGATATTTTGCAAGAACATCTTAAAAGATCGAATCTCGATAAAAGCTCAAATTAATTGCAAGTTGTCAGCAACGACCTTTCGTTTAACGTATACTGTGGATTCATTAGTATTCGTTGGGTACCAATTTTCGTGGGTTTCGTGGGTACAGGTGAATTCAAATGTTCAAGGAATATCATATTTTCAATGTATACAGAGGTTTGCAAAACGACGAAATCAAATATCCATGAAAATTGATACCCACGAAAATAAATAAATCTACAAGTACACTATTAAAAGATTTATCTAATTGAGTGTTACTTTATCAAAAAATTGATAAACGACGAAAAATAAAACCCTATATTCTAAAAACAGACCCTTTGTTGAAAAACGTCAATGGAACGATAAGCTAAATAAATTAACAGAACAAATATCTTAAAAACCTAACAATGCCAGAATCGGTTGTATTCGGCCATGTAAATATTTTACTATAGATATAGAAGTCACACTGTATACCAAAAAATAGTTTCATATATACATCGAAGCTAAACAAAATAATTATACCTCACATGTTAATTTTGGTAGAACAAACGGACCCGAGTTGCAAAGCCACAACATATTTCAAGAACCTTTCCATTTCTATCTACAATCTCTTTTTTGTTAACCACTCATTGGCATCAGTGTAACTGGGTTTCTTATTTAGATGAACGAGATCTTCCTATTAATAGTTTCAACGGCCAGTGTACTTATCTCATATTTGTCAATAAGAAATAAATACGGGATTTCAACATCACAAATCTGTAAAAGAGTTACCTATGCAAAACGGTATATTTCTTTAATATATCGCACTGTTCTTGTTACTTGTTTGCGTAAAAGAAGAATGGTTATGCGTCAATCACTTTGCTGTTTAACTGCAAAAACAATTAAATTATATTGACAGACACATGGTCTTTAACAAAAATAAGCTGTGTATACAATATGTAAACCTCTTAATTGATTATTCCCTTTCGAAACCAAATGTTTGTGAAGCTTTTTGTAATGACATTAGACAGTGTTCATGAAAGAGGTTTTTCCGGCCGTTGATCTCGTTTGATCATTCCAAATTGTATACTGTATTACTGGATAAAAAGTGAAGCATTTTGTTTTGTTAGATGAGCATGATATAGCACTACAGGTGTCAGCACAAACATCGTATAGATGAAGTGATAAAAACCGTACGCGTTCGATTTGTATTTTGTTCAGAATTTCAGTACTTTATTTGGCCCTTAATTGTTTTGGTTCGAGCATCGCTGATGAGTCTGTTGTAGCCAAAAACGTCTGAATTATACGCCTTTAAAAACATCTTAATAACATAAACGATATTAATGTGTATCAGAAGCGTTTTTCGAAAATAAATGTCTCTTTAGTGATGCTGGAGGCCAAAATATTTTAAAATCCAAAGTTTATTAAACACAAAATACAAAATACAAAATTAAAAATACATTTGATAGTTTACTGTATTCCTTAAGATTCCTGTTACCAAATTTTGACGCATTTATATGATTTATTTACTTGACAGCGACAGATATTCTGACTAATTTATTTAGATGTTTTATGGTGTCGGGTATTGAAGTAAATAAACCGACCAAGTATGGTATATATCCGCTTCAAATCCCAATTTGGCTTAATAGTTTCGAGATGACGAAATGGTGTCTTGAACGAGATGCGGATGTGAACATTGTAAACGATTTAAACAATGCACCTTTGACAATTGCACTTGAAAATGGACAAATAGATATTGTACAACTCCTTCTGGATTCCAAGGCGAATCTTAACTTTACTGGACATGTAAGGTCGGAGACTGAAATTAAGGGTAAGGGTAAGTCCAACCTTATTCTTATATATGTTTTTCTGGTCATATCTTTTCAGAGAGTGCTTTGACAAGCTGGCCGTTGTTAAAAAACATTGTTGAATATCTAAAATTATTAATCTGTTTATATTTTATTTAGCTATCTTAATCTCTGTAAATAAGTCTTACAATAACCTTATGACAGGTTTATTGGTGAAACAATATCAAGAGAAAAGCACATGAATTTTACAGTTTTGATAGAAATGGAATCAAATGAATGGCGAGTTGAACAATAAATGTGAATACTGCGCCTTGATATAAACTGAACTTGAGCAAATAATGAATATGAATGAATGGCTATCGAAGGGTCATTCAAACTCGCAAGTAGAAAATAAACTGCCAAAGCCATTGCAATAACGGAAACGACCAAGAGATAAATAACATAATAGAATACAAAACACAACATAGAAAACTAAAACTAAAGAATAAGTAACACGAACCCCACCAAAACAAGGGTTGATCTCAGATGTTCCGAAAAGGTGTGCAGATTCGCGTCATCATGTGACACCCGTCGTATTGTTTATTTAAGTACAACCCCAGTGATGAGTGTGTTCAATAGGTCAAAACATTGTTGAATATCTAAAATTATTAATCTGTTTATATTTTATTTAGCTATCTTAATCTCTGTAAAAAAGTCTTACAATAACCTTATGACAGGTTTATTGGTGAAACAATATCACGAGAAAAGCACATGAATTTTACAGTTTTGATAGAAATGGAATCAAATGAATGGCGAGTGGAACAAAAATGTGAATACTGCGCCTTGATATAAACTGAACTTGAGCAAATAATGAATATGAATGAATGGCTATCGAAGGGTCATTCAAACTAGAAAGTAGAAAATAAACTGACAAAGCCATTGCAATAACGGAAACGACCAAGAGATAAATAACATAATAGAATACAAAACACAACATAGAAAACTAAAACTTACGAATAAGTAACACGAACCCCACCAAAACAAGGGTTCATCTCAGATGCTCCGGAAAGGTGTGCAGATCCGCGTCATCATGTGACACCCGTCGTATTGTTTATTTAAGTACAACCCCAGTGATGAGTGTGTTCAAAAGGTCAAATTCGAGGAAAAGGATTGCGGGATTGCGGTCACAACGATTAAAACATGTCTGTCAGCATATATGAAACATGTGAAACTAGAGATTAACTCGTGATGGCGTCCGTAAAATTTTTCATACTTTCTCTGATGTCTTTTCATTAAATCTGTAGATGTGTACTAATTGCTACATTAGTCTTGGTGAACATGATTTAAATGTATTAGTTGTGTTTGGTTTTTTAACTAGCTTTCAATAACTGGAAGTAATCTTTTGTCGGTACTCTGTGTCTTTTGGGTTTTTGTTATTGTTTTTTGTTGTCCTTCGTGCCGATATGCTGAGTTAAGTAATTGTCAACTTATTTCTACAGTTTCTTCTTATGTTGTGGTGTTAACCTACTGTATTATGTTAAGGGTAGAGTTGAGCGCTCTTATGAATGTTTGACACCACTACTAGTATATTCTTCTTGTCCCTGAGTCAAGTTTGAAGCTAATAACTTAGTGGTTGCTGTTTTCTCTCTTTAATACATGTTTTTGTCAAATGGTTTACCTTATTTCATGCCGATGGTATTCTTATTAGAATTGTTTCATATTTGACATGTACGACCTTTTTATATCTGACCATGATGTACCTTGACCCCAACTTGCATATATTCACGTCATTTGGACTATGTTTTATAGTTTACAATTAGTGATCATATCACATCTAATTTTTACAAATAAAAAAAAAACAAAAACAAGTACAACACAAAAAACGTTAAGCATAATATATTTAAGTTACTGGTATATGGTGTATAATGCAGCAACGCCTTTGGTTGCTTTATTTTGAATTGTATATATTACTCTTAATAGTTAACAAAGGTACCTGGCTTATAATTTAATATACACCTTAAAACCTAAACTAGGTTTTTCAAAGCTGTTCAACTTCGTCCTTGTTTTTACTGTTTTTGATTCAAGTGTCACTGATGAGTCTTTTGTAGACAAAACTCGCGTCTTGCGCACTAGATGTAATACTATTTTTCACATTAGTATTCCTTTTTGTAGAAAGCAAGAACAAAGATTGTATCGATGACGATATTGAAGATTCTTTGTTGACTACAGTAATACGTGGTAATACAAATACAAAAGAAGTGCTTGTAAAGATGCTTTTAAAAGTAGGTGCTGATCCAAATATTTCTGTAAAAGGCGACGACTCACCGTTACTACATGCTGTTCGTTCAAGAAACATTGAAATTATTAAGATTCTCCTTGAAGCAGGTGCAGACGTGAATCATGTTGGATTGAACAGTTATACTGCTCTACATGTTTATTTTCAACATGATGGCAATGAAAGTAAGTAAACTTTGTAACAATCAACCCATGGAAATCTCAATTTTTGTCAATCACATATCTTATTACAATATCTAATGCCTAGTAAATACGAATTATAATTTATAAATGTCTTGCAATGAAGCTTTAAAAATCGTATCAAATTAGTATACGTATCTCCCTTATACAAAAATCTGATTCATCCCCCGTGTTTTCTATACTTATTATGTTTTTTTTTCAATTTTTAATCGTTTTCAAAAGATTTGAACTTCCAATTTGTTTTACCTCAATCATAAATCAAGAGATTTTTATTACCGAATCGCACATCGACTGTAGTAAGATTGGAACTGTAAATGATAATGGATACATCTACTCGTGTTGTGCTTGTACCCAAAGGTTACTTTATTCCAATACCTGAGTACTTTGGTACATGCAACGTATTGAAGAGGCATGCACATCTGGTAGTCACTAATTGTGGAGATGTACCTAATGTGCAATGGATTATGCAACTGATACTGTTGATGTTATAGTATCAAAGAAATTACATATCGGTATTATATTAATATAACATTTAAACATGCAGTGCGTCAGTAACACATTGAAATAAAAATGAATAAAAATTCGAGGTCCTTTTATGAAAAGTTTGGGAGTCAATACCTAGTTTACACATCAATAGAAAATTGCGATTAAACCTTCTAATTCTTTATCAAAACAATTACTTTTTTTTTAGCTACTTTTAACCACAATGGGCATGTTGTAACGACATGTATGTAGATAGCCGCCATATTGACTCTATGAAATGCATATTTCAATTAGTGCAAGATAATTTGAAATGAATAAACACCTACCTGTAAAAAATATAATGTCGTAGTATCCAAATTCGAATGATACTTGTGGTGAAGAATGGAGCGTGACAATTTTCAGTCGTATGACGTCATGTTTTGCCATGTAATAATGTACCAAGATCAATCATTTAATTTCGCGAAATTTAATTCATTTTTAATTTTAAACATTTTCCAAGTTTTATTGGTTAAATAAGTATGTCTTTTTGTTATGCATTTGAATAGAAATAATAGTAACATGTGTTTGTTTTTTGACAAAACGTATCTTATAAAGACATGTATACAAATCAAATAAAAGATATTTGATGATTATTTAATGTTATTTCAGTTAGTTCATACACGCAATTTTTAAAGAAAGATAGGCAAATAAGAGGACACTCTGGGCCTTCGCAAATCTTACAACTGTTACTCAGTGCAGGAGCACCAACACTGTCTTTGTCTGTTTCAAACGAACTTCCAGTTCATTTTGCCTTACAGTTGTGCGCACAAATAGAGGAGGGAGAAAGTGAAGAAGATATTCGTCTTTTGTTAGATTACTACAAAGATGTAAACATTCCAGATAACAACGGAAATACGCTTTTAATACTTGCATGTGCGGAGTTTACTTTTAATATCATCAACAAAATCATTTTACAAGGAGCTGATGTAAATTACAGCGGAAACAATGGTTTAACTGCTGTGCAAGCACATATGGGTACATATATACTTATTCTATGTTTATTTAAAACATGCGCAAACTAAATATTATTGTTATATACATATCCACTTTTATGGATCTGCAATCTGTCGATTCCTGTATCTTGGCATTGCACAAAGTCATGTTTTTTCTGACTGTTTATGACGTCTTTACAATAAATCCATTGGATGTTGGATGTGTACTGATTGATAATTTAGTCTTCGATGCAAGATGTTTTTGTTGGTTGCTATTGGCTTTGAACTAGCTGCCAGTAACTGCTAGTTTTTTTAGATCTGTACTTAGTGTCTTTTTGTTGTTGGGATGTACAAGTACCCGGCCACGTCCACTCTGTTTTTGTTAGATGTATTTCTATTTGTAAACATCTGATGAGTAAATCCTTTTTCCATTGATTTTTATAGTTCGTTCTTATGTTCTACTGTCACACCACTGTTCCAGGTTTGGAGAGAGATGGGATCCCTCTAAAATGTTTAACTCCGCCACATTCTGTTTGTATGTGACTGTCGCAAGTCAGGAACCTATAATTCAGTGGTTGTAGTTTGTTGCTATGTTACATATATGTTTTTCGTTTATTTGTACATTAATTAGGCGTTAAGTTTTCTTGTTTGAATTGTTTAACATTTGTCATTTTGGGGCCTTTTAAAGCCGACTATGCGGTTTGGGCTTTGCTCATTGTTGAAGGCCGTACGGTGACCTATAGTTGTTAATTTCTGTGTAATTTGATCTCTTGTGAAGAGTTGTAACATTGTCAATCATACTATATCTTTTTTATATATAAACAATTAGTTGAATTAATCTGAAATATTGGACCTCATAAAACAAATTAAAACTCCTTTCAATGTTCATGTGGTTGCCTACTGATACATCCAAACATGTCAACGATTCATTGATTAATACATTTAAATATGAAAACAGCTAGTTCGTCTCATTGATGACGTTAAAACAGTATTAAGTGTTGTTTTATTTTGTTTTGCAAAAATGCAAGAATTCTGAAAAAGAACGTGTTTAAAAGTTACCAGCACGAGTCAGTTTATTTTGTACTCAAGCATTTCTATTCATACGACATCTTCTTATATCTATTGTTTTACATTTGATAAAACATTGGCACGGACGAAGGCCATATGTCGGTCCAAATATTATTGATATTTACTGTTTTGTCGATTTTATAGACTTCAATAACATGTGTGTGTGTGTGTGTTTTACAAACTTTTGATTTATTTCTTTAATTTCATTGCAGATAGTGAGATATTTGACAAAGAGGTAGTATCATTACTCATTAAAAATGGGGCTGAAATCAACAAGATAAATGATTTAGGAGAAACTGCCTTGATTCGCTATATCAAAAGAGGAAGACAACACGCTTTGGAAAAGAATGTTTTGTTCTTAATTGAAGTTGGTGCTGATCCAAAAACTAGTGTAAAAGATTGTAATTCAGCGTTAATAGAGGCTTTATCTCTGAATCTATTTAACATATCCATTTGCCTTCTGAAAGCTAATTCCGATGTTAACCACGTTGGAGCAAATGGCACAACTGCTCTTCAAGTTATACTTAGAAAAGGTATTTCAAAAAGTGAAATAGCAACAATAATCAACCTTTTGTTGTCTGTTGTATGTTCATTGAAAAAAAAAAAAATGGATAATCGTTACTTAATAAAAAATAATAGGATAAAAGAATAATTTTAATTATACCTGCTCACTTTTATTGAAGCAATCTTTTTTACAAAGTACTTTTATATTAGTTGTTCTAATCATTGATTTAAATTTACAAATTTGTCAAATTTTATCTGCGTACAATTTCCTTTCTGTTTTACATTTATATGCAATCGTTTAATGGATTGTCTATATGAATTATATGAAATGATATTTATAAAACATACAAAAAAATAAACAAACAAATTCAGCACAAGTATAAACAGGATCAAAGAATTGCGAACGATCAATTTTCTTAAAATGCATCTAACGTTTCTATTTGATACCTACCCTGAAATACTGCCACACAATTAATATATTGTAGGTAGGCACAATTTCATTGGAGAAGATTAATAACGACAATGTATGAGCTAACATTATCTAGATTTGTAATTTGCTTCAAACGAGGAGCATTCTGCTAAAATCAACAAGGTCTTACTGATGAGACTTGTGTAGACGAAACTCGCGTCTGGCGTATCAAATTATAAGCCTGGTAACTTTGATAACTAATTATAAACTCAATTCTTTTCTTCAAATAAGAATATTACTGGAATGTGTTGTCCTCTTAACGGTTTGTGTTTATTGCACGATTAGATGGTCCGCGTATTTGTAAATTATCTTTGTAACGTTAAGTTATTTTTTCGTAAATTTGAGGGTAAATATTTATTTGCCTATGTTTATATTTCCTCCGGTATTATATTTTTATGCAAGTTAGTGATTTTAATTTTCATGGTGCACACAAATGTAGATGTCTTTATGACCCTTAACTCATTTTGGAACTCCTAAAGGTGTCTTCCACCCATCACACACTTTTACTTGCTCTGGTATCCGATTGTGTGTCATTTAATTTTATTATTTCTTTTGAAGTATAAATCAAGTCAATGATGATTTCTTCCGATTAATATAGTTTGATCTGAACATGCTGAATTCGTAATTTCTAAATGCCATACCCGGATTCTTTTTTTATTCCGTTTTTTAATGGAATTGTGCTTAGTTATAATGGCCATTATAGCGTTTTTTGCTATCAATCCAGGTAATCAAACTGAAAACTTAAAAGAAGGCCATTAAAACAACAAATACCTTCATTTATAATAAATTAACTTCAGATAGTTGCTACTTAAAACTTCTTTATACTACAGTTAAAACTACAGAGGTAAAATGCTCTGAAGAGAAAGACGTGGCAGACAGAGAATTCACTTTTCCAGTCACGACTGATGTAGAAAGAGTAAAACAAATCCGAAGCGTAGGTAAGACATTTCAAAGTTGCTTTGATTTTCAAGCTGTATCAAAGCTACAAAAAATAGAGGGGTTATATAACCAATATATAAGATATGACGAATAAATTGTTTAAAAACTGAATTGGAACGTTTCAAATCATCTAAAATAGTTTTGTTCAGACAATTAAAAGACAATGCTAAGTAACATAAACTTGACACGCTTCTGATATTACCAAGAAATTTCTGAATAGGTAACCTTCAATCAAAGAATGTTTGTTTGTTTTTTGGTGTTTTAACTCCACTTTTAAGCACCGCATTTAGACTATTTCGTGGCGGCCAGTTTTTATTGGTGGAGGAAGCCGGAGTGCCCGAAGAAAACAACCGACCTTCGATAGGAAAACTGCCAATTTTAGTCAATTAAGATTGGAGTCGAGTGCACCCACAAGAGCGAGGTTCGAACTCACAACCTCAGTTTTGACTGGCTAGCGATTACAGTAGTAACTACTAAGACCAAAGTCAGGAATATGAAACTTGTTGTCCACTCGTTTGATGTGTTTGAGCTTATGATTTAGGCATTCGAGAATGGACTTTCCGTTTCAAATGTTCCTTGGTAGATTTTATTTCACTTTTCACATATTACAGTATTTAATTGACAAAAAGCAAACCTCTGATTAGATTTAATGTGTTGATTGATGGGTAAGGTGTTTCTATATACTTTTTGTATTATTTATGAGCAATGACAGGTGTCAAAGGTTAAATGGTAACCAATAAAACTTTACTGTGCTTTTTATGAATTAAATATGTCAATCTTATAGTGGCGTGAATACTATCTCTCATATTCAGATAATTAACTCATGCTGCAGATATGCTTGTTTATGATTAGTTGCAGTGAGATATACATCAAAGTTTACAGACCCGAGAATCATTTTTGTAGAATTCGTTCTTGAGGGGGTATATGCAAAAGTTAATTAGATATATATAAATCTGCATTCAATCATCGCATGGGACGCGTAGTTTTATATGACAAAAACGTTATGATAAATGGATGAAAAGGAAACATTTTAAAAACCAATCATAAAGGTAATACTATTTTTAATTCCTAACAACTGAAAAAAATATCAGGTAAGTTATTGGTTGTTGATTGCGGTAGGTCCACAGACAATATGTGAAGCATGCGCAAACATGAGAATAGACCTTTGTAATATAGCAAAAACATAACTAACCATCAAGTGGCATATTCATATCTTTTTAATTTTAATTCCGACACGATAAATACAGGTGAACAACCAAAATGACAGAAGAAATTTCTCATTTGCATTACCATTTGTAACATTTTCCAATTCCTTACTAGCTAATCAAAGGAGGTGGATATAGACAGTGCATTAACAACTTCTGAGATTGAAGTAAGAGCGCTGGTTTTAAGTTCCTCACATTATTTACTTTTCTTATGAGAATTGGTTAGCGGTGGTATTCTATAGTGTTCTAACTACAAATTTATTCAGTTAATGCATAGTTCTAAACATAACAGAAGTTTACGAACTCGGAGAACAAAGGACAAATTATCATTCATGTTACAATAACATCCATGTCATGTGGTCTCTTGTGGACTTTGGTCCCTTTGGCAATCACACCACATTATTGTTATACTTTATTTATTTAAAATCGACATTCCTAAAGTGTGTTTAAAATCGGCAGGCAAGAACGTTACTTAACAACATTAACTGTATACAAAATTTGTTAAAAGATAACCTTTTTAAATTGAGTTGGAAATTTAAAAAATAAGGATGATATTATTATGACTTTTTTATTTTTAGTTTATACTTTTATTACTCTACTTCTGAGTGCTGGAGCAGACGTCAATTTCGTATCAAAAGATGGGGAATCACCATTATATATTCTGCTTAAGCTACATGACACAGGATTGGTTAATGTGATTCTTCGACTTTTCATTGAGAAGGAAGCAGATCCAAATAAGGGCCTCGAGGTGCCGTTGATTTTAGCTGCTGAACTAAATAGACAGAAGGCATTGAAAATGTTACTGGACGCCGGTGCAACGGTTGATAAATTGAATCAACACGGTGAAACAGCACTTATCACGTCTCTACGCGCTTTTAGTAAAAGTCTCGACGGTTTGTACTAGCAAGTTACATTATTTTTTTTCATATACGATCTTTATCTATAATCGTTTATTATACTGGAAATATAGTTATCACATAAAATCATGATACAAAACGTACTAGAAATTTCGTTATGATAGAGCGTGAACTACTTACTAATTGATTTTTCGACAATGATTATGTGCTAATACAGAGTCGCCAGTTTCAAAAAGTGAAATAACAAAAATACCAATCTCCAAGGATATTCAAAACGCAAAGTCCTTTATCAAATGACAAAATTAAAAGCTCAAACACATCAAACGAATATAAACGACTGTCATATTCCTGACTTAGTACATACATTTCTTTATGTATGAAATGGTGGATTAAACCTGGTTTAATAGCTAGCTAAACCTGTCACTTAAGTGACAGCCGCGTATAATTCCATCATATTGACAACAATGTGAGAGTTAAACAAACAGACATAACTGATAAAATGTAAAACAATTGGGGTACAGCATTCATATATGCATCATTCATTGTATTAAAATCTTATTCACTATAAAAACTAATATATGCAAATGATATTCAAAGTATTTGAAGCGGTATAAATAGACTTATACAAATATAAAGATGACTGCTGTTTGTTGACGTAAACGTAAATAATATTTTTAATAAAATGGTTATCAAAGTTATCAAATTAAGTATGGCATGTTAAGTTTGCTGGCATTTTAATTTTAATTTGCTGAACATTTTGGTGCTTAAACGATTCTTAATTTTTTTTAAATTGCTTACGATGATATCCCTTATACTCTACATATGTCCAACGGAGACAAGAACCATTAAGGTTGCATTTCTGTCAATACAGACAATGCAATTTCCAATAGGAACTCCTAATACGGTAACAACTGTGTCACTTTTATCATGAAGTATCCTAGATTAACAAATTTATATGCACCACTTGTTTTTTTTTAATTGGTTAAAACATAGGGCAGTGCGGCATATTTTCAACGTGTATATGCCTCGAACTTCTAAAAGTTTAGTTTTATACTAAAATTCTGAACTATTCCTCCCTTAACATTAGGTCTTCTTCAGAATTTAATTTGACCGATATCCATTTGTTTTATACTGGTAAAATTCCCAGGTTGGAGGTGGATACAGACAGTAAGCTTCCCATGTTGTGTCTCTAAGAGATGAAACATAGAGATAATATCTGGGAACAAGTACGTCAACAGATCTAGAACAAACTATCTATGAATATTACATATCTTCAAAAATAGGCGTGATTTGTGAAACAGCTGTATTTACAATGTGCAACCTAAGCGAACATTTATTCAAAAAGAGAAATCTTGAAATATATTTTTTTCTTACACACATGCTTAATTATCAGAATCATAGTCTAAAAATGTCACTACATGTATTCTTACTTTTCTTTTACAGTACCTATACCCCCACCCCTGTTTCAATTTTTAAAGAAATGGAAAACAAGACTTTAAATATTGTCAGTTTACCCTATGTGCATGTTTTCAGACATGAAATGCCAAAAAAAAAAAAAACGTTTGAAACTACTCTGATATTGAATTAAGAAGCATTTCAAAATACTATTTATGTAAAGTTTAATATATTTAAAATCATTCAAACATTCAAGACTATATAAAGTATCCAATCCTACCTGTGTCTCTTCTCCACATTTTACTGTATGTCTTTATCTATAGAAGTTCACAATTTCTACCTCAAATTTTTAATTGTGAGTAATCTTGTCACAACAGTATTATATCCAACCATATTCCTTAAATGTTTTGGCAAATATATAAACTAGAAATGTTTATTTAAACAAATCCATATTTGCATAAATTGCGTGTATGAAGTTACCAGCTTGATATATAAATGCATTTAAATGTTTCATAGAACTAAGTGCTTATATTTGCTTTTTTGCATAATATAAAAGAAGGTTGTTATTTTCCATACGACAGACCCTTTTAACAATAAAATCACAGCCTTTGTCGGTTGTTTTATCTGTTTTAATACCCAGGGGTTTGGGATTTATCTTTGTTTTTCGCCACTTGCGTCTCAAATTTGCTAAATAATTCTCCTGTTTCTGTGAATAAGGAATATTTAGTTTAGTTTTGTGATAAAAAAACACTAGTGTTAGTTTAATAGAGGTATGTTTGCCTCTCTAGTTTGTATTGATAATGCCGTAATCACAAGAAAGCACAGCAAGGTGTTACGGTATATTTTATATAATCGCATATAATAAGAGGAAAACACTTATTGATTTGTGAGGTCATCAACACACAGGTCATAATTAAAAGAAAATTAACTGATGTTTCTGTCTAGATATTTCTTTTAAATACTACATGTGGTTTGCCTCCTACTGAGAGATCACTACTGATTTATAGAAAAATAGCTCTAAGAGCAAGTGGTTTTCAAATCTATTATCAATAACCTTAACTGCAATAAGAGTTTTCTTAAATGTTTAATGTTTTTATAAATTGAAAGTATAATGAGAAGAAGGTTACTGTTAATTTTGAAGTCAATATCTCAAATGGCATTGTAATAGTTACTAAAAATAGACAAAATTTGTACAGTTCTTCCAAGTGCTAAATCAGGTTCTATATATGGGGTTGCACATTTATTTGGAAATAAGATCACATACAATGATATTTTAAGATGAATTATATGGAACTGCAACATTATTACATATGCGATAACATATAATTAGAGGGAGCGCCAATTGTCCTTACTGAAATAGATTAGTGCGAGATAATATTACTTTCCACGGGTATGTGAGCTTACTAATATGGTTATTATCAACATACAATTTGATGAGGTATAATGTAGTAACATTTGTCCATAAAGTTATAAGGTTTCTGCGAAATGTGTCAAACTTTAGATAATCATTTTGCTATACCCATGTCAACTCTTACAAATTTTGGTTTCGTTAATATGGATATAGGTTCGAGATTAAAGTTGTATCACTAACGTTAACAGGGTTCTATTTTCAGTTAAAAACATCGGAACAGTCAAAATACTTCTTGAATCTGGAGCTTCGTTTTATTTGAAAGATACACGCGGAAATATTCCTCTTTCATTGCCGTTTATGTCGGGAACGCATGCGTTGAATATCAACCCTAAATGTGATGTTATCATAATGATGATGCTTTCAACATTACTTGAAAAAGGTGCATGCCCTAATAAGCAGCCAGATGGTGAAGATTCTTCCCTGATGTTAGCAGCTGAGAATTGTCTTCCGGAATGTGTCAAACTGCTTCTAAAATCCGGTGCTCATTCAGATCATATAGGGAAGGACGGAAAAACAGCTTTACATAAATGTATCTCAGCAACAGGTTTGAGTAGTATAATAGGCTTTGCTCATCTTTTTCTAAAACCCTCAATTAAGAGGTCATATCACGATTACTGTGTATGTTGATAAATAAGGTGCCTTCAAATGAACATGTTTTTAACAAATCAGTATTCTGAAATAATTTCCATGTAAGAAGTAGTTAAAAGGTTTTATTATGTTTTTTTCAATAACAGTTTTACTTAATTTGATTTAAGCAGTCGATAACTTCAACAATTGATCAAATCAACTAAATATTCATTGACAACAACAACATGTAAACTACCGAAAAGTTGTATAATTGCACATGACATACTACCCACTAAGTCGAAAGTCTTTATAAATTTTTTTATCTTGCTTAATTTTTTGTCAAATGCTTTACAGGATTTCTTCCATGTAGAACCAGTCGTTACAGAACAACAGGCAAGCATAGTTCTAGATCTGGTATGTAAAATATAATTGATGTTGCTTGTCTTGAACATTGAAGAGATCAGCATAAAACAGGTGGAAGATTCATTATCATGGTCAATCTATACAATACTGAAATCTAGCTTCCCAAAGATTGACCTCGAGTTGATAAATATTGCAAATCACGGCTTAGTATGGTCGAATCTATTTATTAAAATTTATTTGTTGTCAAGAATAAATAGTTTTTTTAACGCGAAGGGTTGGGGGTGAGGGGGGTGAGGTGGGTCCAATCCTCTTATGATAGTAGTGAGCAATCCAGTACCCCACCTTTATATATATTTTAAAAAACAAAAATGCATTCCCTCAAAATGACAAACAAAATATACCTATAGCTATCATGATTCCTCAATTTTGATTGTGATATCAATATTTTTGTCAGTTATTTGATGCATTTAATGGCGTGTGTTAAAAAAAATCGAAATCTGATACTTTTGACACAATCAGCAACCTTGTAAGATATTTCTACCTTGACATTATCATATATCATGAAGCTAGAAAAAGTAACTGATTTCAGCGACTCATTCCAACCACTCATTACATATCAAAGATTAATACAGAAAACGAAAGTCAAACAATACGAACCCGATCAAAAATCGTATTTTAAATCAGTCTTTGTAAAATGTCGTCATTCAGACCATTTAATTTGGTCATGTATTAGAAAATCATGAATTGACTGGTGCCGATGATTTCAAAACTTTTTGCAATAGAAAAAACACTGAAATTGAAAAATAAGATAAGCTTTGAAATACCATATTAACTGAAAAACACTCATTTATTCAAATTGCATATACTGATGATGTTGCTTTAAAAGTAGAAAGAAAAATACCCGTTAGAATTACGCCGATCATATCTTTATTTTTTAGAGGTTGGATCTCTTTGTCATTTTCGAGGGATAATAAGTTACAAAAAATGAGAAATAAGAGAAGTAGATGTCAATTAAACCCGTTTTGAATTTGACTGTATTCATTATTAGCTTAACTCAAAACATTATGACATTTATTTATTTATCTAGGTACAATGTTGGAAATGGAAAATTTCGTAAATTTGGAGGATAAAAAAAGGACCGACAAAAATAGACTAAAAATACTAGAATTGCTTTTATCACATCGCGCGCGTGTAAACGTTGACGAGGAGGGACACGATTCACCTTTACTGCTTGCCATACAATATGAAGATATTGAAGCAATTAAAGCACTACTCAAAGCAGGGTCAAACCTTTTTCACAGAGGAGTGGATAGGCTTAATGCATTCGAAAGATGTCTAAAGTCAGGTGATTATATGTAACTAATGTGAAAGTAATACTAAAGTTATAATTTATTTATTAAACTACAGATTTATTTGTGAAGATTTACGACTTACAAAAAAAATTATTCATTCTCAGTGGTTCTTTTATTTTGTGCACTTTATTCTGCTTACAAATTTCAAAATGTGAAGTTTAATGTGGTATGCAATTATGCTTTAACGTTGTTTCCTCTTATAACTGATGTGTTTCCCTAAGTTTTGGTTTGTGACCCGGATTTGTTTCCGTTGAATCGATTTATGACTATTGAACAGCGATATACTTCTATTGCCTTTATTATTAACTTATTGCCATGATATACAATTGAATTAGATACAATGAAACAGTTACAACTAAATTATGAAAAGACAAATATATGTAGCAGATAGCTCGAACTGGTTCTGAAGTATTACATTTAATTTAGTGATAAATAAATTTTACACCAACTCTCAAAAATGTTTTATAAAAACTAAATTTTTCAAATCACAAAAAGATTTACCTCACTGGTTCCAGCCTTCAGGATAATCACTAACTCTTGATCATATAGTTTGCCTGGTATTGCTTTTTTTCTTAATCAGTCGACACCTTTGATTATGTCTGCCAGATCAGCATCGGTTAAACATGTGTGGACAAGTTGATTTATGTACAATGTATCTATATGATAATATTCCCAACTTTGTACTCCAATTATGTCTATATTTCACCCAGATATTATAATAACCTAACTATATTGAACACATTTGGTATTATAGTATTATATGGTTCAGTGAATCCAAATACTCCATGTAGAATATTTGATTTTTACTCACTACTGGCTATTGGACAAGCTACTGATCTGAATAGTTATTTTTATCTGGTTCCTGCTAGTGGGACATCTTATTTTAACTAATATATATAAACTGTAATTTTTATCTATATTGTCAATGCGAAATAAGTTAGACAAGAAAGAGCATGAGCCGTAGCGATCAGTATAAGGTATTTATCATTTCAAGGTTTTTCAAATTTATCTATGGTTGAAAGTTTTTGTCTTAATGTTGTATTCAGTTTCATTGACTTTGCGAAATGTATTTTATACTTTAAATTTTCTTATTCACCTGTAATTAACTTTCAATGTTGATATCAGATCTGTCGTTGCCTTCTTTGTATAGTATAAAAAAAAAAATTGAAACGTTCCGCATTCAAGGTATCCTAAGCCTTATTCCACCTGGTCACACATGTTTCGTATATATAGCTTTGATTTAATATCAATATTAATTATAGTCAGGTTTCAAATTGTGTGTTTTTTTTTCACACAGCTATTATATACGACAGGTAAAAAAAAACTATTATAAATTTGGAATTAGTATGTGACCGTTGCTGGAATCATAGATCTGTAGTTTTGAATTAATCTAGGATGTATTAGCTTTACTAATTGTTGAATGCCGTATGGTGACCTATAGTTGTTAATTCCTGTTTCATTTGATCTCTTGTTGACAGTAGTGTCATTGACAGATATACCACATCTTTTTTGCATTTTCAACTATTTCCGCAGCCTGAAGTTAAAGTGTGCCAACTCCCGTTTTCTAATGCATGAGCTTTTAATTATAATGAAGATCATCATGTAATTTATATTGTGTTTGAGTTTTCTATTCAAAAGGAACAAAAAAGGCAGCTGTCATACAATAATGAAATGTCATATTAAAAAATTATGCTTATGTGATGATTCAAGAATTATTTAATACATATGTACAAGTTTATTTTCTTATATACATTAGGATACAGTGGTGGTTTGACGATATTTGACATTTTACTCGAGCATCAAACACCAGAGAAAGATAGTATTGACAGCTTGTTTCATCTGTTATGGGAATACGTGAAAGGAAGGGAATTATTTAGAAAGCCTCTTCTTGAAGGCGTTTGTGTGAAGTTATTGTCGACAGATATAGAAATAACGGTTGATTTAGGCACGTCGAATGAGGATTCTCCGCTCATCTATTTTTGTCAGTTACAATGTTTGGAAGTTGTAAAGATGTTACTTGCAAGAAAAGCTGATGTTAATCATATTGGAACTGGTGGGAAAACTGTCCTACACACTTTGATAGATATGACAAGTAATACAATATACAGAAATATAATAGAAAATATTAAATTAAATATGTAACTGCTGTTTGATCTAGTACATGTTATTTGCATTTTGAATTTCACGGCACCAAACAGAGTTTATTAGTAGGCTTTATTCAATTCTTAAGACCTACTTGCACATACTTTATAAGGACATGCAGTCATTTACGTATGTATCACATTTACAATGAATGTTTGAATGTCATAAACTTCAAGACATTTACCAGTTTAGAAATCATTTGTGCTATTAACATTATCTTGATGAATAATGTAGACGTTTCCAACCTTGTCGACTGTCAAAAATTAAATTCGATTCATGGCTAGGACAACAATATATGGTTAAATTAAATAAAATAATAATAATAAAAAAAATATATGGTAAGTGAGTTGTTTTTAGGATATTACTAGAGACCGGATAATATAAACCAACTTTAGGTCACAGTACAGACTTCAACAATGAACACTACATATACCGTAGAGTAAGGATGACAAAGCTTTAAGGGCATACGATACAGTTATAGGGGAGTTAATGACGTTGCTAACGTAAAATGTTATTTTCGCGACGTCAAACTGTGACATTTCGAGAAAAGATGCATTTTTCGAATGATTTTTATCATTCAATTTGATTTAACTTGAAAACGAGTTCATGGACCCCTCTTTTTTAAAATTATAAATTTATATGATACTTATATAAAACAGAAATTACAAATAATTTAACAAAAAACAGCTTGTGTTTATATTTTAAAACAAAAAAGTTATGTGTTATTGTCGAAAGGAAAATACGTCCACAAATCCAAATTTTGAGCAAATATCTGAAATTTCAACCTCATTTTAATAAAAAAGTAGCACATGCATGTATATTTTTTATTACATATTTGATTCAATCAGGTAAAAAATAGCCGTTAAGCAAATTATCATCCAAAATTTTATTATGGGATCAAAATTGTATCGTATGCCCTTAAGCATACATTTTACAAAAAGTAACAATTTAGCTTAGCTAAAATAACAAACGAAAACAAATATGACAGACAGCATTCAACAACAACGATTGAATAACATCCTCCTGATTTAAAAACAATGTTCTTTGTTTTATGCATATTCACTATGTATTATACATTTAAAATAAAGTCTTAATGTCACTGATATCTTTATTTTACAGACAAAGATGCGTCTGATTTTCAGCAAATGGTGGAAATGATTTTTTGCGCAAAACCAAATTTTGATATAAAAGATGAGTGTGACAAATCACCAATAGAAGAATCTGCCTACAAATATCATCACCAATATTTTCATAATTTTTCAGACCTCACAAATGTTGGTGTGTTAGTACAACATTTATTAGACGCTGGAGCTAGTCTTCCCTCCAGTGACCTAGACAAACTTTTGAAAAAGGCTGCAGAAAATGGTGACTTTAGGACAATGGAAAGTGTTTGTCGTCACGGAGCAAATAAAGACATGACAGACAAAAATGAGAACATGATATTACACATATGCTGGTCAAAGAGTGAGTATTTTATTTAAAATCATGTGTCAAAATTTCGACTATGCTTGATAAGCATGCATGATGAACAGACAAACAACCATTTTGGCATTTTGTTTTGTTTTCTAACATTTGTCATCTGGTTTGTTTGTGGGGTTCATGTTGATCAGTCTTTTTTTATGTTGTTTTTTGTAGACGGTTGTTTATCTTTTGATGTTTTTCCTTTTTTGCAATAATGTGTCAGTTTATTTTCGACTTGTGAGTTTGAATGTCCCTTTGATCTCTTCAGTCTCTCATTTAGGAGACTTAAGGTTTTAGTACGCATTTGTTTCTTCTACTTCAAATCCATAGATAATGCAATTTATTTAATAATAAGAAATTTAACTTATGTATGTAGTCCTAGATACATGATTATCCCATCAGTTGTTATTAGGTTTGAACAGTCTTTCCGTAACTGCGAGTATTCTTGGATCTGTATTTACTGTTCATTTTTTTGCGTGTTTTTAGTGAGTTGTTTATTTGTTTTGTATCGATCTAATAATTTTAGATCTTTTTAACTGAATTTTATAGTTTGTTGTTGAATTTTTCTGTTATACACATGTACCACGTAACCAGGATAGGAAAGGGTTTAGTGCCTGCAATAATGTTTCACTATTTTACCCCACCACAATCTGTATGTGACTGTCCCAAGTTCGGAATATGTAATGTAGTGGTTGCCATTTGCTGCTGTATATCATAATTGTTTTTCGTTTATTGTTTTGTACACAAATCATACCTTTAGTTTTCTTGTTTTTATTAATTTACATTTGTCAGTTTGGGTGGCTTTTAAAGCTTGCTATACGGTATGGGTTTTGTTATTTTTAAACGACGTACTGTGGTTTATAGTTGCTAACATTCTACATCATTTGGTCTCTGGTGGAGAGTTGTTTCATTGGCAATCATATCACATCATCTTATTTTTATGTTAGTTAACCATAATGTATTTTTTGTTATCTGCTTTTACTTATACCAATCGATATTTAAAATGGGACCTAAAATGAGCGACTGAAAGTTGAGCAAAACCCATCCTTTTGCTTATATTCCAAGTCAAAAACTACTGCAGTGCTTGGTTGATTTTTATGACAGATCTTCGATAGGATAATATCTTTATAGTTTTTGATAAGACCAGGCACAATTTACAGCTTGACAAATTTATAAACACGTGTACATGTTTGATCATCGTATTTAATTGCTTGATGTCTTCCATTTTTATGTGTACTTGTGGAATACTGTTTTATTCTTGTAGACTCATGACTCATAAAATCTTTGGCGACCTATTTGTAAAATCTACATATTCTGTGTGATTAAACTTAAAACAAAATTGAGTTTTTGTTTTGAAAGCAACTTTGAGAACTATTGGCTAAAAAGGTGTGGTCATTTATTATTTGAGGAGGGAGCTCAGGTGCAACCAAACTTAAGACATGAAACCTTGCTATCTTAGTCAAACAATGCCGGAATCAACACATCTGCCAAGTGCGAGGTTCAAACTCACAACTTCAGTCAGTTGACTTGATAGGAATTCATATAATGTACCACTAGACCACCAAGACGATTGGTATATTAACAATGCTTAACTAATGTGTACCTCTACTGTAAGAAGACGCGTGTATAGAGTTTTGTCATTCATTTGACAGGACTTCTTATTTGATTTATTTGGTAATATACTAATTTGTATATTTTAGCATTAGATGGAGCACTGCAATTTCTCGAATACTACAAGGCAGAAGATGGATCTCTCATCAAAATCAATAAGGACGGTAATTCACCATTGCTTGTATTATTGAATGAACAAAGAGATAAAAGTGAGAAAATAGAGACTCAAACTGCCAATATAGCAGCATATTTTATGAAAAATACTAATACTAAGATTTTAGATAAATATGGAAATTCACCATTGCATGTGGCTGTGGAAGCTGGTATGGTCAAAACAGTAGAGGCTCTACTCGCATCTGGTGCAATTGCTAGTAAGCAAAATCTAAAAGGTCGCACAGCCCTTCATGTATGCTTAGAAAAACGTAAGTTCTTCTTAAAATGTTAGTTCATTCTTCCCTTTTCTCTGTTTAGTGTCAACCGTCTTAATGAAGAACAGGGACAGAGAAATACTAGATATACGTGGTTGTATGCGTACTCCTCGTCAAGAGACTACTTTCACGCATAAAATTTTGCTAGATTGTAATAAAATTCATATCAAATGTTTATATCAGCAATGATCAGAAGAGGTCGAAAATTAAATCAATGCCAACCAAGGAGTAATAATGCCTCTTGTAAATATTAATTATATGAAACAGTGGATTTTTAGCGATCTCAAGCCTACATTTCATATCAGATATTTATAATCGGACTAATAGAAATTCAGCGCTGATCAATTACTTTTAAAGGAAGAACGTTTTTTGGTAAATGTAAATTCAAATGAAATGGTATTGGAGTGCTGTCAACCCTTCGTTTTTTGTCAGATGAGTATGAACTGTATTTTAAGGTTTATTTATGGAATGTCTAGAACTCGAAAATCCGTGCCGCTCAAGTATTTTAAGGAGTGACTTCCCTTTGAAATGCAAATTATTTGAAAAATTGCATGTATTCAATTTTATGCATACATTTTGTAGTTAGTAATCAAAAGTTTAACACAACTTAAACTGAGTAGCCAAATAGTACAACAACTTGATGTGTTTGAAATTTAAGTTGTTAATTGGTGCGAAAGATGACAGATATATGTGCAATACATTTTTTCAAAAAAAAAACTATAAAAAAAACACACACATATAGGTCCGAATTTTGTTATACCTAATCAATTAAAATAGGGCGGAAGACATCAAATGGACATTCAAAATTCATAATCATAAAAAAATCGACAACGTTATGAAAAAACCCTAGATAAACAACGAAACACCAGATTACAGTCTACAAAACTTCGCAGAAAAAAATAAAGACTACGCAAGACGAACCCTATCAAAAAATTTGGAATGATCTCCGTGCTACGGAAAAGTAGGCATATTCTGCTCCCCGAGTTGCACCTGTTGTGTTGCTCATGGTAAGAACATATGGCCACAATTGTCAGTCGACTCCTTATAGGGGTGTAACACTTCAATTAGGAAACACACCTAATCATTTTTACTATAGTAGATAAATTTAGTCTATACAGCAAAAATAAACTGTAAACTAAGAGGTACAACTTAGAAAATTACCGAGAATCGACTCATGTTGCCATGCTATGACAAATTTGTCAATTTACTGTTTTGGCTATGTTCTTCAAACTAAAATAGTCCGATGAAATTAGCAAAAACAATTAAGCAAACAAAGGTTACAAAATGTCAACATAACTGATATTTTCGATTAAATACTTATAAAGGCTAAATCCCTGTAAAAAATGAGTTTTATCTGTTTATTTTTAAGCTGTTTTATTTAAACCATAAAATTTAAAGGTAGAAATAAACCTTTTCCTGCCAAAATGATGAGCAAGATTACATCTTCAATTGAGTCAAATAACTGAAAAATTGTCAATCGAATCCTTACAGCAGAATTTTTCATTCAGTGCTATATAGTTATTTCATTCAACTAATCAGCAAATTAGATTTACAGATAGTTAAGTGGTTCTAGACTAAACCTGGTCACAATATTACTCATTTGTGAAGGATGGTTGCCTCCGTTGCTTACGATTTTAATGCTGTTTAGTTTACAGGTGAATGATTCTGGTTCCTGGAAGCCTTTAACTGAGTTAGTTTGGAAGATCACTCTTTTCGAATTACAAAAAATAAAACCCATTCATCTGTCACTTTTTTTAAATTTTATTTCAGCGAAATCAAATATAGTAGAAGTTGTATCAAAGATTATGGAAAGTGAAAACCCATCAGTTGAACTTGAAGTATCAGGTAAAACACCTCTTTACTTAGCGACAAATCTTTACGAACGTTACTACATGTACGACTACAACTGTACAAAAGAGATGATGAAACAGCAGTCGCGAGTTGTTGAGGTATTAATTCAACATGGCGCTAATCCAAACAGTCATAACCGTAGTAATATTCCATTGCTATCAGCTGTAAAAGCAGGCGATATTGACACTGTGTCTCTTCTTTTGGAAACGGGAGCTCTGGCTGATGTTACTGATGAAAAAGGACAATCAGCAATCCATGTACTTTTCAGTGAAATGCCACACATCTCTAAAGGTTTGTTGTAAATATACAAAGAATATGTCTAGTCGGCTTATTCGTACTTTATATGTGCCAATTCTATATAATGCAAAACTTGTACTACCGTGTATACGTAAATCGCTTTAAATGCACGTATTGTCATGCCGGATTTAGTGTCCTCGACGAAGGCTTCTAATCAGGACATGAAATGACAATTACCAAGTCATTCTATTATTCATTAATTTTTCTGAAAAAAATAAGTGTGTCATCCAGGGAAGGATGTTGGTTAGCACATATTTTGGTAGAATATGAAAACAGAAATGTTGGGAAACTTTAATGACACAGTAACCCAGAGATACAAAAACCCTTTAAAATATTATTTTTTTTACATTTCGTATGTACAACTGATGATAGCGGTTTATATGTAAAATTAAAAGTCTGAAAATAAATTGATTTCAACAGCTACACGTGAAAAGCACTTGACTTTATAATAACGTTTCATCAAAATCAAATCAATCATGTATCGTTGGTTTGGTGTATTTGTCAACTCTTCAGTGATTCAATTCAGAAATTAACATACGCAGGTTATTATAAACTTTGAAACATGTTATAATATTATCCTTAAAGAAAAATAGCTTTTTAGAACCCATCATACAATTTATGGTTGGTCAGTAATTTTTGAAATTTTGCGATTGGTTTTCCAGTTTCTTTTCAATTTGTGATCTTTGCTCTTTCTGTTTGAATTTTCCTCTTCTCTAAATGATAATAAGACAGTAGGAAGTTCATCATAAAGACAAAACAAAAAAAACATTTACCGTAAATTTAGAATTTTTTTTTAGCTTAATCATTTTCCCGCACTGTTCTGTTAAAGGAACTTAACGTTTTTACGTTCTGTTAAAGGAACTTAACGTTTTTGCAGGAAACTACATTTTTACTATGCTTTGAGCAGAAGCAGACACTAAACATTGTTTCGCGTAACCTTTTGTTATTTTTTTCAATAAACGGGCAGTTCTTTTGTTGTTGTTTTGATCTATGCCTGATATAATGATACAATTTACTCGCGTTAACATTAATGACATTTTACACAAAGCGCACGTAACGTCGTCCAGAACAGAATACGAAGGCGCTTAGTTTGAACCAAATTAGTGACAATTTAGAACATTGAACAGATATATATGTACATGATGTATAGATAGCGAAATTACCAATAATAATATATTATGACAATCATCATAAAAAAAGAAGATGTGGTATAATTTTCAATGAGACAACTCTCTATCAGAGATCAATATAATGGAATATGTTGTCTGTTCTCTCACAAGCGATAACCCTAACTGTTCACTAATAGTCTAACAGTAACCACTGAAATAATGTGTAGTCCACATTTCTGTTAAAACACACAACAGTCTATTAACATTGCTGAGAAAATTTTGAAAATCCGTTTTGGTTTATATTTAACGATTTGACTTCAACCGTTTAACCGGCGAACTATAAGTTTCTATAAGCAATATTTTTGTAACTTAAGATTTTATTCATTTTATCTGTTTTAATCTGCACAAAAAATTTAATCATGCAATATGAGAAATTCAAATTATTTTTTCAGAACCCGTTTTTAATTTAAATTCTTTTGGCTATTAATATTGATATGTAAGTATTAAACATTTCTGATTTATCATGACTGTCTGAATGGCAGCCATACTACATCTTGTCAATTACATATATCTAAAGCTGATTGGTTTATTTACTCACATATCATTAAAAACGTATATGTGCCATGCATAGAAAAGCGGATTTCTTTTACAGTAGAATTGGAACTAATATTCATAAGGAGTTGATTCGGCAAAACAGCATCATTTAAGGATTGATTATCTTAACGTTTTCGATTGTTTTGAATGTTCCTCTGGTATCTTGCCCCCCTCTTTTAGTACATTATATTTGCAGATGCTGAAATGGTATTGTTGCAACTTCTTATTGATAATGGAATAAGTGTAAATGCCACTGACGATGACGGAAAATCTGCATTGATTGTTGCTGTAGAGCGTTATGAAGATCGAAAGTTCAGACAACGATTTGTATCGCGCAAATCGAATCCTTCTTTTACAAATAATATAATCAACGAATTGCTTCGTCATGGAGCTGATGTCAAAGCAGTGGACAAGAGAGATCGAACTGCACTTAACATATTTTGTCAAAAAGGTATATTGTTTTAATTTTACAACTCTTTTAGATTATTTAATGGAATATTTCCTGAATTAAGTTTGAAACATAACTACATATAGAATGTGAATAGGAAGCACAATATGTCGTACCAAGAGCAAAAACCAAGGAATTATGAGTATATTTAACTCGTGAGGAAGAGATACTTAAATTCTCGTCAAACTGCACTTTCACATTTTTCTGATACATTTTTTTTCGTATTACATAGAAATTGTCTTTTAACAAATCTTGTTGTTTAATATATGTTGAAGTTATAACAACTCTTCATTTGTACAGCCTACAAAAATATATTACATTTGGAAATTGGATATGCAAATTATTGATGCAAGTCATTAGTTTCTCTAATTTTGATGCTATTATCTTACTTAATGATAATTGTATCCGTTTGTTTTGTTGATCTTTATTGAACAGTAAAGTTTCACATGCTTTTCCTTGTGTTTTTGTCTGATATCGGCAAACTACCGATGCCTTAGATTTATGTCTAAAAGAGAGTTCGATGATAAGGGACATTCAAACTCATAAGTAAGACATATTGATAACGCAAGAAAACAAAAAAACGACGAAAAAACAAACAATAAATTACACAACAAAAGTATAAGCAACAGGAATCCCAGTAAAGCATTGGTGATAACGTAAAAGAATTTTCAGAACTATTGATATTAAGGCAACATCTTTTATGAAAACAGTCTGGAGTAATTTACATTTATCCAACATTTAGATCTATTCCTTCCTACGGAAAAGCTATCAGAGAAGTAGAGTGCGGGAATTCGAAGACATTAATTCAAATGCAGTAGATATCTGAAGATTTTGAATAAATCAATTATTTGCTTTTATAAAAGAAAGACCATGTCCAGTAAAACGTTCAAGTATTAAATGAACTTTCTTTATACCAAAAAATTTAATTGTAATATCATCGAAGGAGTATCATAAAAAGTAAAATCACAAAAATACTGAACTCATATGACTTTTATCAATGCTTTTATTGTTGGATGCACTTTTATAGCTAGATCATCTCAATTTTAATGGTGATAATCATACAAGCATGTACTACATTATATTATTTTTGTATCCTTATTTTATGTGAAATAAACAAACAGAGGTAATTAGCAATCGGACTCAAATGTTACAGTATCTTGTTAATTGATAATTATTTATGTTTTCGATATTTGTCTATGAAGGGTCTACGATAGAAATCGGAAGAAGTCTTCTCAAAGCAGGGGCTGATCCATCAGTAGGAAATTGTTTACAGTCAGTTTTAGATAACCGCGAGTTGCGCGAAAATCCGGAATTATTTATGGAGCTTCTTAAAAATGGGGCTAACCCAAATATGTATTCTGGAGGTGGTTCCAATCTTATTGATGCTACTAAAAAGGGAACGAAGCCATTAGTAGAGGAATTGTTGAGATATGGTGCTGACGTCAATTTTGTAGACTATGAAGCAAAAGGTGCTCTCCACTATGCATGTGCATGTGAAATAGGTATTTTTTTCATAATATACACGATAAGCAGAAACAACAAACTATGACAAAAAAGTAAGAACATATTCTTAAAATATTGAGATTCATATTTTTTTAAAAACTAGGTACAGTCGGGACATATATGTAATCAAATTCGTTTTAACGTTATGCTGCTTGGGATTTGTATTTACATGCATTATTCTGAAAACAAAATAAGTTTATTCCTATGAGCCTTTAAATTATTAAGTGAATGCTTATGATCTTTAATTTAATGAATACAAGGAGAGGTTTCGTATATATTCAAAGTCTTCACCAAACGACGAAAATAACCGGTAACAACAAAATGTTTTCAATAATATCATGTAAACTTTCAGTCTTCGGGTGAGAAATGAATCGGAATAGATTTGCAAGATTATAGCTATGTCTTCGATGACCACCTAGAACAGTAGTACAGCAGAACAACACATGAACATATTCTGTACAAAACAATAAATAAAAGCAAACTTGACAAACAGCAACAAACGACAAAAACCCAACGACATGTTCCTGATTCTGGAAAGGCACATATAGTATGAGGCTGGGTTAAACATGCTTGCGGGCGCCCCCTTGTGACAGTGATATAACAGCACAACATAACAAACGTTAAAAATACATTGGAAAGAGCTTATTTCCTTGATTTTGTATTTACATTGTGTCTTAGATAAAATTTATTCGTTCCGTTTATGTTCACTTGTGTTAATATGTCTTTTGATTGAGTTAAGACATTTCAATTGATATTGTATAGTGTGTCTTTTTATGTGATGCAATACTATTGTTTTATATTTTTCATACATCGCAGGATATTTTACTAATGTCTGATAAGATGGCTCTGAATCATATTCCATTCAATTTGTTCTTGCAACCTTTTTAATATATACAAAACGGGCATATCAAGCGCACTTGAAGTTGCTGATTCCTTCATAGCAATGGAGTCCATTGGAAACGAGCAGACTTTTTGTTGTTTTTATTTTCGTTTTTACATTTTTTTTCACTGTTTGACTTATTTGTTCAGATGGACAATTGAATATTATAGAGACACCAAAAGAGAGAAGTGATATTATTCATTCGCTGATTACGCATGGGGCAAAGCTTAATCAAATTTCTACAGAATTCAGAAGACCTTTAGATTGCTTGATATATAGAATGATTAAAGATATCCAGGAGCTTAAAAAACTTCATGATGAGATTCACAGTTTTCAATATTTGAAGATAGATTTGTCATCATTTAATTACCTTGTCCGATGTGGTTGCGAATTAGCTCCAATTGAGGATATAGACACTACATACTTCCATGATGAATATCGGTAAGATTCTCAATTTATTTAGTCTAGTAATTAATTATAATCCTGAGGGGAACCCTTAAATTCATGAATCTCAAAGGTTAAGATTTAAGCGTTCCTGACGAAGTTTTTTTTTGTTGTGCTACTGACATGAGGAATCAATAATGATCCAATGTAGAGAGTAAGCAATTTTAAAATCTGCCGTGCAGCCACTTCCTTGGTACCGATAGTCGCACTCATTGCACAAGTTCGTCGAAGTTTGCCCTCCTTCAATGGAAAGGAATTATCAGTTATGTACGGCATGGTATTGGTTGCAAAAATTTGATATTTTTCATTTAAATGGAATTTTTTTTTTAATTGGTATATTTCTTCATTTAAAAGCAATTTTTTGTATTTAATTGGTATATTTCTTCATTTAAATGCAATATTTTTTTATTTGAATGGTATATTTTTTCATTTAAATGCAATATTTTTTATTCAAATGGTATAATTTGCCATTCAAATGGTATTATTTGTCATTCAAATGCAATATTTTTTATTCAATTGGTATAATTTGTCATTCAATTGCAATATTTTTTATTCAATTGGTATAACTTTTCATTTAAATGCAATATTTTTTTATTTCAATGGTATAATTTTTCATTTAAATGCAATATTTTTTATTTAAATGGTATAATTTGTCATTCAAATGCAATATTTTTTATTCAAATGGTATATTTGTCATTCAAATGCAATATTTTGTATTCAATTGGTATATTTCTTCATTTAAATGCAATATTTTTTTATTTGAATGGTATATTTTTTCATTTAAATGCAATATTTTTTATTTAAATGGTATAATTTGTTATTCAAATGCAATATTTTTTATTCAATTGGTATAGTAGTTTTTTTATTTATATGCAATAATTGCATTATGGTAAATTCTTTGACGTCTTAAGGTCAAATTTGCAACAACGTTTCTGATTGGTCGGTAATTGTTTGGACTTCCCCCTTTCTTTCTAAACACGAGTGACCAAGAATTAAAACAACGCGTCGGAATATCGCCCCTCTAACTAAATTTGGCGTTCGTGCGAGTTCGTGCACTGGCTGTTAATGCCAATAATGGCCAGGTCGAGCAAAAAATGCGAGTGACAAGTAATAATAATTATTTTGACACACAACCTGTTCATGGATAGAAACAGATGCCTGCGTGCATGGCAAAAACGCCTCCAATGAAAACCCTTTCTGAAGAAACTCCCCGACAGTCTACACATTGAAATAAAAAAAAATAAATGCATAGCTAGCCCCCCTTCTAAGTCCAGATACGCGTAATTTTCTTGATCCTCAGAGACGTTGCAGGAAGGCAAACATAAAAAAGAGTAAAAAGCCTTCCAGAACGTTATAATTATTTGGACTAAGCCGGCCCATCTTTTTTGCTTCATGTAGAAAAAAAAATCACCTAATTACGACAGCAGAACAAGAGACCCACAAGAAGAGACCTAAGCTGTGATACTCCGGAACTAATTCTTTAATAAAGACAATTCGGGATAAATTGGAACCAGTTACTAACCCATGTTACAACAATAGTCCTATGACATAGAACGTACACTGTATAAGGCGTGAACTTCACATTTTGGAATATCTATAATATGTGCTCTCATGTCTTATGTCAAATCATTTTACATTTAGGATTCGTTGCTGAGCTTTTTTTCACTGTTCACATCTCCGAATCCCTTAAATAGAATTTGTTTTTGAAACCCCACAGTAGTTCAATAATTAATATACCTATGTCTTTGCATAAATAAGTATGCAAGGCATATTTCAAAACATATTTTTTCTTCAGGACTTTTAAACGATTTACTTTTCAATACTGCATTGGGAGGGGGAGGGGGGTATACAAGTTTATTTTGTGACACAGTATATAATATAGTTAGATACAAATCTCTAATGATTTGTATCCAACAAATTATAGGATTGTACGTTTAGCAATTATCTAGACCCGTACAAAATGTATAATATTATAAGATACATTTTACAGGGGCGGATCCAAAACCTCGGTGTCTAGGGGAGTGGGGGGCGGGGGGGGGGGGGGTCAGATTAAGATATTTGTATAGAGATGTATATATGCGATATTTGCAGTAATGGTTATTCACTCTATTCTTTATCCTTTGATCTCTATTATATTTGTGCTAAACATGCGTGACATATTTGTTAATGGACATTTGGTAACCAAAAAACAATCGACGCATTCTTTTTATTTCATCATTTCTTTATTATGTTATCTATAGGTTTGTTCCCGCCCCATATCCATTTTTTGCACATTATTCTCTCTATGTAAACCCAATTCCTGTCCTGATAAATGGTGACTCATGCATAGCATCAAATGTGGTTATTAAAACAAGAAACATATTCATATTATAATAATTTACTGTATGCTTGGACTTATAGATAGATGTCATTAGTCCCAGATCATGTAATAAAGTTGATCTTATAAAAATACAATAGCATTTTAATGATGATCATATATATGTATATATATTTAACAAAAAAAATTGGAAATTATTTGGAAAAAAGGGTAGGGGCAAGGCGTTTTTAAAACATATTAATGGGGCGCGTTGTTTGTTCTTCGGTAGTGAAGTCCATTTCTGGGTTTGTTTTTTTTTTGCATTGGAAAGATCTTCTGACTCTCTTCAACCTCTTCTTTTTTGATAGGTTGTTTAGACGGCAGAGGCACATAACAAACATGGCGTCGTTTAGTCTAAATAACATTAATAAATTTATGAATTCAGATATATTAGAATGTGAGCAATGTTATAAACGTTTTATGGTATGAAAGCCTTAGTAAGACATCCCTGTAGGACGATAAGCTTGATAAATATAAGAACTACACGGACAATAACATTCAAGGGACGATTATTTGATATTCTAGGTAAGGGATTTTGATTGATTGGTGTTTAACGCTACTTTCAACACTATTGGGTTATTCTGTAGTGGTCAGTTTAAATTTATAGATAAAGGATGGGGAAGGGAAGAGAGGGCATTATTATTCATTTTAATCTGTCGCTAATCGTGCCTATTTTTCAGCTCTTACCAGGCAACCATACTCATATATATGTAAATTCTTCTGTCCCCCACCCCAACAAATAAATAAATATCAAATGGTTTTCCTCTTATCTAACACAAGTTTAAATTGATTGATTGTTTTGTTGCTAATTGTTAACGCCCAGTGACAAATATTTCATGCTTGTTCAGGAAAACACGAGTTTAGAAGTCAGGTATATAATATAAAAACGAAGAGATGGGATATGATTGTTAATAAGACAACTATCCAGAGGAGTTATGAAGTGGATGTAAGCAATTATACACAATCGTAAGGCCTTCAACAATGAAAAAAACCTGATACTGTAAAGTCGTCTATAAAAGGTCCGACATGAAAAGTGTGAACAATTCAAACGAAAACAACTAACGGCCTAATTATACATAACAAAACAATTTGCAAAATATCAATTACGGGTCGAGACATGAACCAACGACAACCACTAAACTACAGGCTGACCTGGGACAGGCAAATAAAGAATAGTTCAGGGTTGATATAAAAACGAAGATGTGGTACCGTATGATTGCAAATGAGACAACTCTCCTCAAGAGACCAAATTAAACAGAAATCAACAGCTATAAGTCTCCGTACGGCCTTCGACAATAAGCAAAGCCTACCACATAGTCAGCTATATAAAAGGCCCCGAAATCACAAATGTAAAACAATTCAAACGAGAAAACTAACGGCCGAATTAATGTACAAAAAAATTAACGAAACACAAATATGTATAACACAGCAACAAAGGGCAACCACCGAATTACAGGCTCCTGACTTGGGACAAGCACATGCATACATACAGAATGTGGCGGGGTCAAACATGTTAGCGGGATATCAATCCTCCCCTAACCTGGGACAGTGGTGTAACAGTACAACAACATGTTTGTGAACAACCCATCCCGAAGCTGGGACAGTGGTGTAACAGTACAATAAAAGAACAACCTGTACTAATCAGTTGCAATTAGATTAAGTCAAAAGATCGGTATGAGACTCACAAAAAAAAACTAACATTAAGACAATAGACACAACGCACCGACATAAGAGTATTTACAATTACTGGAAGTTTGCTCAAAGCTAATTACAACTAGTACTGGAATAAATCTTGTTCTCCTAGACAGAAGTATCAATCAGTACACAGCGCGCGGCAAGGGATTTATTAAAAAATAAAACAGTATGAGAAACGTCTGGTTTATGTTGTATATAGATATAAGAAGATGTGGTATGAGTGCCAATGAGACAACTCTCCTTCCAAGTCATAATTTGTAAATGTAAACCATTATAGGTCAAAGTACGGTCTTCAACACGGAGCCTTGGCTCACAACGAACAGCAAGCTATAAAGGCATCCCATTCAAACGGGGAAATCAACGGTGTCTAATCTAGTTAAGAAAACGATATACTTGCATATAAATCCATATACAATGAAAGTTTTTGAAAAGTGGTGGTCCGAACGTTTTGACCATCGAAATTTTGCAATAGAAATAATAGTTAGGACCAGAAGATTTTAACAGCCAGTGCAGGACTCGCACGAACGCCAGATTTAGTTAGAGGGGCGATATTCTGACGCGTTTTTTAATTCTTGGTCACTCATTTTTAGAAAGAAAGGGGGAAATCCAAACAATTACCGACCAATCAGAAACGTTATTGCAAATTTGACCTTAAGACGTCAAAGAATTTCCCATATTGCAATTATTGCATATAAATAAAAAAAAACTACTATACCAATTGAATAAAAAATATTGCATTTGAATGACAAATTATACCATTTAAATAAAAAATATTGCATTTAAATGATATATTATACCATTTGAATAAAAAATATTGCATTTAAATTAAAAAATATACCATTCAAATAAAAAAATATTGCATTCAAATGAAGAAATATACCAATTGAATAAAAAATATTGCATTTAAATGAAAAATATCAAATTTTTGCAACCAATACCATGCCAT